ATTTAAGTACACATTGGCACACACATATTGACACAACAACAATTGCATGCAGATTTCCCAGTCAAAACACCCTCATCGCCATGCTGCCACACGCGTCGATGCCAATTTGCAACCACCTTTCATCTTTGAACTCTGCTACCTGCCACATTCTACATTTTCACATTTGCCACGACGAGTCTGGTTGCTGCCACATCACTGCTGTGCGCCGCATATAGCTGGGAAAGCGCAATTGAAGTTGCCTTTGATGTTGCAAGAGCATGCTTATGGTCACAATGGTGTATGCAACATGTGGCAGCATGTGAATTTCCCAGCGTAATTGCAAGCAATGACAAAATAATTCTGCAATTGCAAGTGTAAATGCTGGGGAAGTGCACATACAAACGCGGGCGAGTTGTGGGGTAAGCGGAGGCAAGTCGCAACAAATCAGCTTTCACCACACCACTCTTCTGTGTGTATATTTGTACATGTATGTGTGTATGTACGCGTGAGTTCTGGTCTTTGTTTGGGTAGTTGACGAAAAAAAACCAACTCACCTGCTCATGCAGCAGCCTTTGGTACTTCCTTTACACATATATATATTTATGTATGTATGTGTATATTTAACTGTTCATCTCGGTGCTCAACTCTCTGCGCTCCTATGCCACGTTGCTATGGTAAACCTCTATTGACATCCGCGCGCCGCCACCGTTGCTAATCGTCAGCAAGCGGCAGGCACACAGCAGCTCTCTACTCCGGCTGCGTGCCTCGCGCGCTGTTTACAGTTTTTACCCCTCTTCGTTGAGATTTCGGTGTTCACACGCTCAATTTTCCGCTGGCAATGGATAATCCGTCTTTTCACCCTCAATTTGGATGGTAATTTGTAAAGCAAACCAAAGGAGTAAAAAATTGGCAAACAACTGTTGCATGCCGTCTGAGCTCTGAACATCTTTTTTTTATTATTTTTCATTTTTTTTTTTTTTTTTTTTTGTTTTTAGAAGTGCAGGAATTTACCGCGAAAGGGGGTGACAGCGTAGATTGCGCTGTTACTTCGTTTTATTTTTTTCTTAAGACCGAAAAGGAGTAGCAAGTAAAAATAACGGTAAATAGTAGAAGTCAAATTATCAGCTCCCTCACATCTCATATAACGCCCACAAAGTATTTTTCCCTGTCCCAGCCGTTCAAAAGAGCGCAGTAAACTGAGAGAAAGAAACAGATTTCCAAATCGAAAACTTTGAGAGTTTCTTTTGTGTTCTTCAAGTCAACTACTTTAAATCTATTGCGGAGAAGAACGCACTTCGAGGTTCTTTATAATCCACGATAAGAAGTCCTAGCGAAGCTTGGCTATGACGAGCCGAGATGATATGGATTTCCCACTGAAGAGATAGCACTCGGAAAGTTGGCGCCTTGAAGCCTAAGTCAGTGGGAACAAGGAAGCTTACAAAGATGCTTCCAGCTTGCTTGAACCTGTAGATAGTTGCCCGGTGACATGCACTTCTTCCCTGTTTAAAAGGTTGAAAAGGGAGACATTTTTCTTTGTACTCGACGAATAAGTCATTGTAAACTCCCTGCTGAAGGCACGGCACTCGGAAAATGCTATTTCGCTCTATGTGGTGCCTCAAAAACCAAGGAACACTTCCGGTCTTCTAGTCTAATTTGTACTGGTAGGAAATCCTGCTAAGGGATGTATATCTTCCCTTTTACCGGTGAGAAGAAAACAGCGTGATGCTAACTGTGCCTTCTTTGCCCACCACGAGGCCTGTTACTATTTGCCGAGAATTTCTATTTTAACTGATAACAATGAGTTTTGAACAATTTACAGCACTCTTTTGACTACCGTTGCATTCCGGTTATTTCCGACCAAGGAAAGCTTCCACACACTCGTCCCTGAGGTATTCATTAATATCGTCCCTAAGACTTGGACAGATAATCTAGTTTCTAGAGTCAACTTCTTTCTTTGGTTGGTTGTTCGTTCCGGGATGTTCCCTTTATGCCGAAATAGACTCATAGTGCTCTCCGCTGTCCAGCTCAGTATCTCTCGCTTTATGACGCTGTGAACTCATATAGCTCTGGACTGAATTAAATGTTACAAACATTTGTATTTAAGAGAGAGAAAAACATTATTTGTCTCCCTCGTTTGCTCCCATTCCACTACATTTGGCATGCCTCTTAGACTTCAATAGAAGAAAAAGGGATAAAGAGCTCTGATGTAGTCACTGGAGCCTAAGTGCCTGGAATGTGAAGACCTCGCAAATACAGGGAACTTTCGCTGATGCACTTGTAGGCTCTTGAAAGTTTGGGGTTTTTATTACGAGATTTGAAATTCGTGATTCCAGGAGCTCTGTAAGAACGTCATATCGCTCATATATCAGTTGCATGCCACTTGTGTTTGCTTTTTCATCAAAACTGTTTTCAATTCTATCAATTGCGCTCTTTCTCTTTGAATTTCCGCTGGCTTCCTACGACTGCTTGCGAAACTTAAGATTACCGCAAAATGAAGAACGCATAAACTGCATTGAAGAAGCGCTGTCAGGTCTCAATCAAAGTTTCTTACCAATAAATGCATTTCTTTTAATATTCTCCTATTTTCTTTTCATTGAAGCCACGGCATATTTGAATTTAAAGTTTCGCCCAAGAAAGGCGCAGCAGAAACTTTTCTACATTAAAAACGAAGCATATTTTCAGGCGCAACCGTTGACATGTCTCATTTGGCGTGCGCGCATTGCAGTTGTCATTTCACAGATTCATGGGGAAAATGAAAAAGGAAGAAAACTAGATAAACTTTAACTAAAACAACAAAAATCAGGCAGAATTCCTTGGTAAATTGTATTAAGACCTGCATTTGCATGTTCGCCGGTTATTAGTACGTGCAAAGTTAGGCCGCCGCAGAAATTATATTATATATGTTGGCGCAGTTTGATTGTTTGTAAATAACGTAAATTTATTTATTTAATATTTTTCCACCTTCTTAAAGCCTTTAAACAAATTTACACACAATTATGTGTAAAAATTTTCGAATTGGTAAAAGGCGTCGTTGATTTCTTACTTTTAAAGCTGTTAAGTAAACAGCCAAAATGTATGCTACGTATTTTCAGCAGCAGGTAACAGCTTACATTAGCCTTTTTTACGCACACATATGTGGAAATTTGTGATGTTTGTGCGCCATTTTGCTTTGTTTTATCCTCCGCTGCCAATATGAGGCTCGGCTAATCCCATTGAAATGCGAATAAAGACTGTTGTATAAGGGAAAAGGTGAAATGTAAGTCGAAAACTAAAGAAATTCAAGCGCACACACACACACGGAGTGGAGCGGCTTGAATTTCTAAACAAATTTCGCAACAAGTTTCAAAGCGGAGGGAAGAAACAAAAATTGCACGCAAAGAAATTGAAGTCTGTGCTTATTGTGGATCCTAACAAGAAACGCATGTGTGTGTGTATTCGGCTGAAATTTTAATAAACGCTGCGAGCAAACACATACCCACCGCCCTCAATGCCTTGCTGTAGGTCAAGCTGACATTTAAAACTCTCTTCAGCTTTCTCTCTTGTTCGCAGTTACTTTTTTTCCTTAAAAAGGCAAAAGAACAACAACTTCATATGCTTTCAAGGCTTAGTGCGTCTGCAATTTAATACCCACTTGTAGCGCTGGCACAAATACGATGGGGATGCGTATTTAACTACTTCTTACGCACTTCCTGCCTCGCTTTTTCAATATTTTATGTCAACACCTGATCAGCTTAAACTGTTGACCTAAAAATTTTAGGAGCACAAAATCACTAACTGCCGCCTTATTTTACTTTCTTTAATTTTATTTTATTTCTTTCTAATTAATTTCTTTTTATTCATTTTTATTTAATATTTTGAGTGGAATTTTACTTCATTTTTTATTTTATTTCATTTTTTTATTTTTTTTTTATTTTTTTTTATTTTTTTTCATTTTGTTTTTTTTTTTGTTTTTTTTGTTTTATTTTATTTTCATTTTATTTTGTTTTGTTTTTTCATTTCATTTCATTAATTTTGTTTTATTTAATTATAAAAAATTTTATCTTATTTCACTTTATTTTATTTGATTTGATTTTATTTTATTTTATTTTATTTTATTTTATTTTATTTTATTTTATTTTATTTTATTTTATTTTATTTTATTTTATTTTATTTTATTTTTTTTTATTTTATTTTATTTTTTTTTTTATTTTATTTTATTTTATTTTATTTTGGGTTACTTTATTTTCTATTTTTTTTCATTCATTTATTACTAAATTATCATTCACCCTCTGTCCTTAATTCTAAAGCTCTGTGTAAGTCTCCTCTCATCCTAAAACTACAAGTGTGCTTCCTTGTGTATTTGATTACAGTTAGCTACTTTGTTGTTGCTTGTGTTTGTATATACCATATACTTTAGGGAACAATTAGTTAAGGATACTAAAGGATAAGTAGTCTAAATGTCAGCGATTAAATTTCAAAGTGGAGAGTAAAAGTTAATTTTAAACGGGTTTTTGGTATATGAGATTCTCTGTTGCAAGTGAAAGTGAGATTGAAAGTATCTGGCACGTTCAATGTGTATGAGAGCTGTTAAATTTATAGAAAAATTTAAATAATATTGCTTATTTGATAATAAATGATTATTTGCAAGCGAAATAAGGCTGTGCCTCCAAGCTTTTGGCAGAGCTTATGTAGAGCATTTTGAAATTCATTAAAAATACATATTTCTGTGCCTATCAAACAATTTTGGAATTTTTGCATTTGAATGACTAGAGCTTTTCCCAATGCTCAACTGGGCTTTAAGCTTCCTACTTTTCTCATAATGTTGTAATAAATATAAATTATTTTAATATAAGAACCTTGTAAGCTTTGCAATTTCCCATAGAGTTTAAGCTTTTTGGTTTGAACTTTTGTTAGATATAATATGTTTATCATAATAAAAAAGAAAGACTTTTAAAATTTTTGTATTTATTTTATTTATATTTTTACAAAAACTGTTTGCCTTTACTAATATATTTTCTTGCTTTTTGCTCTCTCTTACACAGAATGCAGACCAGATCAGTATAGATGTCGTTCAGGCAATTGCATTGATAGTGCACGTCGCTGTGATCGCACTCCTGACTGTCCCGATGGCGATGATGAGGATGCAAGTTGCCGTAAGTACATTGTTAGATCCAAAAAGAAGAAAATGCTTAATGTGTTTTTAGTCTCTGTGTTCTACACCGATAAGCTCTGTAGCTGTGTTGAGCTTGTAAAAAGCTTTAGAGTTATAGAAAAATATGTTAGTTTTGTAGAAGGGATTCAAATTTCTTATAAAGCTCGTGTAGTTTTTTTAACGTTATGAAAACCAAAGCTTTGTAACAAGCTCTTTAAGGAGTCTTCGAGCCTTTTGAATATTTTTTATACTTTCTAAAGTGTTCTTGGATTACTTTTGAAGAGCTTTCGGTTTTTTTAACTTTCGTAGCTTTTAAAAGCTTTCGAGCTATTTGAAAGCTTCGAGTATTTTGGAAGAATTTTTGAACTTTTAAAAGTTTTCGGGCTTTTTGAGAGCTTTCAAAGTTAGTTTTTTTGTGCTAAACATCAAAATATGTAGCCTTACAAGAACAAGCCATATATAATGTGTAGTTTAAGTAAATTTTGTCACTCCCAGCAGGATAACTACCACCCAACCAACAAGACCAAAGCCCTTACTAAGAAGCTTTTAACAGCTTTTTTGCTGCGCTTTATAAAAACCTTATTAAATAACGCCTAATATGCTTAATTAGTACTTAAGTAGTTTAATTAAGTATATTTAATATTTATTACAAAACCAATTTATTAAAAATTAATTATTTAAAAATTCTAATACTAATCTATTAACCTTTATTCTCTTTCAATTTGAATTGTATTTTTTACTTACAAATGCCTGCCAATAACAACAACTAATTGCGTGATATACAAAAACAAAATATTAATAACCTCAAAAAAAAAAATTATAATTACAACAATAACTCAACTACTAACTACGCTCATATGTTGCACGCGCTGTAAATATGTAACGTCCTCTAACTGCATCTATAATAACGTACATTTTTTTGGAATAACAATAACAAAACCAAAAATTTAAAAACAATACAATAACAACATGCCTACAACGCTTTGCCAACCAACACCAATATCAACCCGCTCTCTCGCGTTCAGTTATCGGTTGTCGTGAGGATGAGTACCTGTGCAGGGATGGCATGCGTTGTATTAGCAATACGCGAGTCTGCGACCGCGTCACCGACTGTGTAGACGCCGACGATGAGGATCAATGTGATGGCAGTAAGTAACAGTGGAGTGCATGCCGAGAGATGCAACTCTCGCGCCCATTGAAAAGTTCATTTCATCGAGGAGAGAGTATGCTTAAATACTCTCACTCAATTTACTCATTTGTTTCATTGTCTACTTTCACAAGGATGAATCTCATTATTCAAACTCTCTCTCTCTCTATTTGTTTGTGCTCACTTCTTTACTTTAACGCACTCTTTACGCCTACCGCCGCTACTCTTGCGCTAACTCAACGCCATATGACTCAGTTGTACCTCAGCTGCGTTACTATTGCCCGAAGGGTAAATTCACCTGTCACGATCTATCGTGCATTTCGATTGTGCATCGCTGTGATGGCCATACGGATTGTCCAAATGATCGCGCCGATGAGGAGGGATGTCGTAGGTTGCCAATGAATTTTTTCGGAGTTTTTTTCTTTTTATTTAGATTTCTTTTTTGCAATATATAAATTGAAATATAAGCCATTCGCTCTCTTTGCCCATTTTTAACTTTCATTTTCACGCTCTCCTGGGGAATCGTTCGCTCAGCTTGCCTCTACGAACGTTGGATGTGCGACGATGGCACTTGTTTGTCGCAAGAACAGCGCTGTAATGGCAATATTGATTGCCCGAATGATGTGTCGGATGAACGGAATTGCAATGGTGAGCAAAAGTAATTAGAAAAGTGTGAAAGGGAGAAACTTAGAAGAGCTTAAGGTGGTAAAATATTTTGCATTTGCACTATTTGCAAAACTTGGAATATTTTAATTTTATTTAAAAACCGCACCATTCTAACTGTATATAAAATCAAAATTAGTTATATTGTGTCAACGAATTAATCAAATTACAACAACAGTACCGGCTGACTGTTCCCAGACGTCACACAAATTTTGTTGCATTTTTTTTTTACTCCATTTTGCTGCTATGTTGCCACTTTTCTCGTCATTGTCATTGCTGGCAATTTGAATGTCAGCCGCGGCGCTTTTCTAACATCTCTATTTTTGTTTGTCTACTTTTTCTGCTTTTGCGAAACGTTTAAAAATTCGCGCCGCCGGCCAACACATGTTTTAGTTCACTTCTAGTCGCATATGGTCCTACATATGAACATAAATATGTATGTATGCACATGGTTATGAATATACACGCCCGCAATTTGCAAGCCAACATTTTGTTGTGCTCACTTTTCGTTTTCCTTTTTTTATATTTTGCTTTTTGTTGGTTCTTTCTTGTTTTTTTTTTTTTTTTTTTGTTGGCTTTTGGCGTTGATTTGAAAATTAACATTGCAAAAATGCCACAAAAAAGGGGGAACAGCAAAGCGTAAAGGGTTTTTCGTTCTCATGCTGCACTTGCAAATTCATATTGCAGCGAATTCGCAGTTCTTTTTCGCATTTATTCCACTGCTGAACAATTTTTTCCCATTTTATTCCATTTCTGAATTATTATTTTTTTTTTATTTGCGTCAGCTGTTCAGCCTGTGCGCACGCCTTTGTCACCAGCCCGCCATTTGTTTGAAGTCGCTCGCTTGCTTGCTTGTCTGACAGTTTGAATGACACTTTAATTTCTTCTCTTTTGTTCTCGCTCGCCCGTTCACCACACTTCGCCCAGCACACTCGGGTTTTGCATATTTTACGTTTCGTTTTTCCTACTACTTCACCATTTCTGCTTAGATTTGCGTTTTCTATTTTTAATTTTATTTTTTTCCTTTTTTATGTTTAAGTAAGTTTACAGTCGTTGTCGTCGTCGTCACCGCTAATTAATCAGCTGTCCACAAAGCAAATTTGCTCCACATTTTATTCCAAATAATTTGCATCTCTGAACATTCCAGCACACGTGCATAAATATAAAGTCGATTGTAAGCACGTCTTCTACAAAAAGAAATATACATATACGCACTTATACATATATATATTTAATATACCTCGTATTCCACTCGCGTGCCAGAAACCACCCATTTGACAGCTGCGACGCACCTTTGACGTTTAACTGTCACTTCAAAAGTATTTTGCGGAATTTTGCGCTCTACTTTGTATGCCGCTGAAGTGTCGCGTCTGTTTCCGTTTGCGATTTGTTTTACAAATGAAAATAACTTTCATAAATAAAACCATTAATGTTTAAATAAAAATTTTTTTTGATTAATTATTTGCATCAATTCTTATCTGCGATTTCAATTAACTCACCTCAGGATTCAGCTCTGTTGTCTGTTCTCTTCTCCTGTTGGCACCAAATGAACGCTCTAAGTGACTTTTCCAACTGATCTTTTAACGCAGTAGAACTTTCTCTCTTTATGTTCTGCTACCAACAGCGGATACAAAAGCAAACTATCAGAGCTTGAAGACGCTTTGGCTCATCTGAGAGCGTTTGTTAGCCGCCGTAGTCATAGTCGTTTAATTCGTAAACTGTGTTCATATAGTCGCATGTGTCCTAGAGCTCTTTTTCCTATCTTTTAGTTACGGAGAGGTCTAATACTAAGCCTTAACCTTTTTAAGAGAGCGGAGGTATAATATTTCTCTGCTTTCAACGACGAATTCATTACCAAAATCTTTTCAAAGCTAGAGGAACTTAATCTATCCGGATCTATTCAGCTACTGGCTCTTTACTTGCTGAACTATATCCAAGTCGTTGCTATTTTCCATACAGCTTATTGTCTCGTGATGAATAGGTCAAAGGCTTATAAATATTTCTTAGCTGCAAACTGATTGGTTGTTATGGTCATCCACGCATCAGGCAAACAGAGTAGAAGAGTTATAGAAGAGTAGACTAGCTTAGAAGTGGCATCTGTTGGTGTGATCGGTGTGATCGTCTGCCGATCTTGTCGCAAAGTATTTAATTTCTCTAGCGACGGTATATAGAGAGCTTTAAATGCATTCCCATATTCCCCTAGGTTAAGTTGTGCCAGGACTCTGAAATCCGTATCCTTGTGTATAGTACTCGTTATCGTAGGGAAGCGTCATAAAATGTCTTTTGTATTTCAAGGCTTAATGGAAGCTTAATAGTTTTCGCTCAGCGGAACCTACTTACTATGGTCATTGATTCGGGATGCGGTCATGCATTAGCAGGCATCATAAACTCCGTGTGGGGTCTGAATAATAAATAACAGAGACAAGTTCCGATCTGGAAATCAGCTGTAGATCGTCTTTTTAACTCGTAGAATTCTCGAGCACTTCCACTGAAGTTTTATAGATATATCATTAGCTAGTTTTCTCGTCCCATCTGAACTTGACTGCCTCTAGACATTCTTAAAACTACTTTGTGATTGATTGTCTGTAATTTTTCGCTCCTTTTTTTTTGCCACTAAAATTGTGTTTTCCTTTTTTCTACATTCGCATCTTCCGTACAAACAAGCACATTACAATTTATCAGCCCTTCATTATTTTCATTCATTCCTTCATTCTTCATCATGAACATTTAATAAGTTTTTTTTACAATTTTTTTTACTAATTATTTCCTCAATTTTTTTTTATACAAACCAAAAATTTTAAAACATCAAATCAATTTGTGCCTTGTAATTTCTATACAAAATGCAACTCTGGTTTATTTGTTTAAACTCACCTTTAACTTGCATCCACCACAAGGTGGTGAGTCTGCCTGCAGATATAACGAATTCCAATGTGATAACGGTCAATGTATACCGATGCGTGAGTTATGCGATAATATATATGATTGTGTTGATTATTCAGATGAGAAGGATTGTGGTAAGTGACACTTTGGCGCAAGAATAAAATAAAATTAAATGAAAATTGGGGCAAATGGTGTTGGCAAGCTTTAGTTTTTGTAAAGAAAAAAATCTTCTTATAAAAAAAATATGGTGTTGGTAACGAAATGTATATAACTGTATCTATATTTTCTAACTGTTAACCTCTTAGTTATGACAGCTGCGAGTGACAGCTGTCAAGTGTCACTGTGCGCTGCCAAATGGCAATTCTATGAGGGCTCAAAAACCTTTATAACCTCAATGTGCTTATCTGTGTTTTAGTCTATACGAAAATAATTTAAAAATAATATTTAGAAGACATTATAAAATTAATTATTAAATAAAGAAAAGAACAAATAAATTTTGAAATAATATAAAATCTTAAAAATATATAAATAAAGTAACTAAATTAATAAAAAAAATCATAAAATTATAACAAAATTGAAATTTAAATGCTCAAAAAATTACAATCATCGAAAACGTATTTCACTTAAAAATAAAAAGTAATTGCAGTACTTATTTAATAAAAGTTAAAGTAAAAAAAATATTTAAAGAAAAATTTATATAATAATAATAATTAATATAATATTAAAAAATTGTAATTTTATATTATTTATTTAATAAAAATTAAATAAAAAAAATTAAAAAACAATTAGTAATAAAAACTTGTAACTTTACAAAATTTACTTAATTAAAATTAAAATGGAAAAAATATCAGGTGTACAACTTTGCTTCCGCCGTTTTTTTCCCAAAATTAAAAGCTTTATTGCGAAAAAGTGCTTACAGATATATTATTCAAAGTATTGTCCTTCGCTAGCGACAACTTTCACCCATCTTTCCGTCAATTTTCGGATCCCGGCTCGAAAAAAGGAGTCCTCGTTTGACGCTATCCATGAAGGAATCCATTTTTCCAATTCTTCGAAGGATTGAAAATGTTGATCTGCCAGGCCGTGTGCCATCGAACGGAATAGATGGAAGTCAGAAGGGGCGACATCTGGGGAAGACGGCGGGTGGGGTAAGACTTCCCATTTCAGCGTTTCCAGGTACTTTTTGACCACTTTTGCGACGTGAGGCCGAGCATTGTCGTGTTGGAGGATGACTTTGTCATGAGAATGAGGCGAGAATTAGGCACATAAACGGACATTTTCGAGCGTGAATACCTGGTAGAAAAAAGCTTTAAAACCTTAAACAAAATAAACGAGTAATAACTTGATAATTAAAATATTAATTAATATAATTAAAAATGTGTATAAGAACTATTGAAAAAAATAAATAAATTATTAAAAAATATGCTCAATAATATGTTTGAGAAATTTAATTTAAAAAAAAATATAAAAAATTAATTGAAATTAATATACTAAATATTTTATATATACAAATTTTTTTGTATTTTTGGAGTCCTTCGCCCTATTTCTTCGGTGTATGGGTCTTAACTTAAAACTTTATGCTTTGCCGCTTTTATGCTTCTAAAAAAGTTTGTCTAAGTAAAATTATTACAATCTCGTAGCCGTTGCTGTTGCTGTCCAGCTAAGTAGTTTGAAAAAATTGTACAACTTCTTATTTGAAAATTTTTTTAAACTAATTTTTTGCAATTTTTCTTTCTCTTTGGTTGCATACAAAATTACTACCATTTTGACGGTTACGGTTTTTGAAAAAAATAAAAATAAAACAACAAAATTCGAAATATGAATGCAAAAAAAAAAAAAAATTAAACACAAAAATACTACCAAACCTACTACTATTCTACTACTTTTACTATTACTACCACCAACAAAAATGCAACACTGGCAACAATAAAATAAAACACACCACACCAAATTGGCGCACGACAACAATTTATGGTTACGGAATTTCAATTCACACGCATGTAAAATTAAAAAAAAAATTAAATCCGTTTAACCAAAATTTTTAAAAATCCCCCGCCTAACATTTATACAACCCCCGCCGATATTGCATGTCATTTGTACGCGATTGCGCGCAGACGTGGAGGATATTGGCCGTAATATTTTCGATGAGGATGAAATTATACGCGAATATGCACCACATCCACGACGCCCACCGACGACGGAGGGCCCACCCCTCCTAGAGGGTATAGATGCCGAGGAATATTATGTGCTCAACTCACATATCTATGAGAAATCGAATGCGCTTAAGCCCTGCAATGAAAATCAATTCGAATGCGGCAATAAAGTGTGTATACCGTTATTCCTGCGCTGTGACGGCTTTTACGCATGCAACGATCTGTCCGATGAGTTCGACTGTGATCAGTATAATAGTGAAAAGCGGCGCACGACCACAGCGAGGCCAGCGAATTTGGTGCGCCCAACACAGGCGACTGGGGGCGGATTGTTACCCTGGTGGCGTACAACGGCCGCGCCAACGGTGAGCACAACAGCATGGGCGATGACAACGACGGGAAGGCCGACAACTAGCGCGACATTTGCGCAGAGTAATGAGACGCTACTAATACCCAGTAGGTTGCCAAAATACTTACTAGGTGGTGGGCTGAGGTGTAGGGATTTCGAAAATGATAGAAATTTAGAGAGAAATGTTTGTAATTCTCCAAGGCTTTCCATTCACAAAGTGGCGTAAATGGAGCGGGTAGTTTTAATACAAAACTAGAGCTGCCACCATTTACTACATTTTGTTTGCTTGTCGCAGAGTCTGAGTTTGGTGGGTTGAGTGAGGTGGGTTAGCCTGTGCTCTGGCTAAATTGGTCTCACTACGCCACATCAAGCCGCTCAAAATACACATGCTTTGCGCTACCAACACACGCTCTCATGAAAAAAATTCTCTCACACATACACACACATACATGCACTTGCGCAGACATGAGCCTTTAACACGTACAAAATTCAGTTAATAAAAATTAATGATTATTTTTTTTTTTTAAATAAAATCATTTTAAAATACTTTTTTTTAAGAAATAATTTAATTAATTATTTTTTCAAGAAAATAGATGTTTATCAAACAATTCATTAGTGTTATGGAAAACAAATTTCAATTTAAAATATTGCTGCGCGTCATATTTTAGGAAAAAAAAACTAAACCCTATTGATTAAGAAAGTTGTAAAGTCATTATTTTATTAAAAGAAAAGTCCCGAACTCATTTTAAGCATGATTTTTCATTACACTCAAGCTGCCATTTTTTACTCAAATTTTTTAAATTCAACATTTCACTCATTCTCATTTCTTCAAAACCAAAAAAAAACAATACTCTCCAACACACTAAACGCCCACAACAACATAGGCTACAATAACACTTGCCTCGAACATTACGAATTCGCATGCCGTAATGGCGATTGCATACCAATCGAGAGCGTTTGCGATGGCGCTGCCGATTGTAAGCAACGCGAAGATGAAGACTACGAATTGTGCAGTTGCAGCAGCGATAAGGTAAGTTCGATTATGTGGTTAGTGTACGTGCGTGCGTTATAGGCTCGCGCGCAATCTCTCTCTCTCTCACACACACATACGCTCAAGTTATAACTCACGCTCCAGTCAGTGCATATTTAACAAAGTTTCAAACCACCACACATTATATGAGTATCATATCAAAGTTGTACACCTTTTATAGTTGATTATTTTATCAAGCATAGTTACACACCAAAAATTGAGTGGGAGAGAGTGAGTGCAAAATGTCGAAACGCATATTTATAGGCAACGCATGCACTCTGTGCAAACAAATTAAGTGGCGTTTGCATAAAGATTTATTATTATTTCTTTTTTTTAAATTACGCCTTGAGTTCTGATAATTATTATGCATGAATTTAGTGGAAATGTTTGCGCGGCGGCGGTTGCATACCGAAAACACAAGTCTGCGATGGTAGAAAACAGTGCAAGGATGGCAGTGATGAGAGCAATTGTCGTAAGTATTATAATTATGTATTTGTATGGCATGCAATAAACATGTGTTTTATTTAAATAAATCATTTTTTAATAATGAAACCTAATTTGTATTAATTAAAATTAATTAGTTGACATCGAAACTATTTTTTTTTAATAAAATAAAATTTATTTAATACAAACAATCAATATTTTTGTATATTACGTACATTTTTGTGTTCGCATGCGCATGTTTTGTACTTATTTATTTAATTTAAATATATATTTACCACTAAATGTAAAGTTATTTTATGTAGAATATTTAAACAAGTAAATTAATTTTTTATTATTTTTATTTTTAATTTTAAAATACTAAACATACACGTTTCTTTTATGTATTAATATTTATGAGTTATTCAAAATATACATTTTTACATATAATTGAAAAATACTTATACAAATTTATTATTTTTCAAAATACTGCGAATCAAAAATTACACTTTTTGAAAAAGAAATGAACTATTTCTTTAATTCTACGAATATATTCCTTAATATTTAAATGTTCTTTTATATCTAAATACTTATTAAAATTTTAAAGTATTTTTATCCATCTGATTTTAAATAATATTCATATTTTAAATTATTTTAGTTTCAAAATTATATTTAAATATTCTGACCGAATTTTCTAACCAAAAAACGTATTGCAGAAAGTCAGGACACATCTAGAAAATTCTAAATAGCTTATTGATACCTTTTTATATTCGCACCTTGTTTATTTACAGAAATTTTTGCTTTCATAGATGTTACCTACTAATTTTAAGTGGAAAAAAATAAATTCCGCGCTTTGTGTAGGTTACAAAAAAATAAATAAATCCATTTTCCCTTTATAAAAATTTTGGTTTGAGTTTTATAAAATTTACCTGTCGGTTTTTATAGGAAAGACAATTAATATACTCACCTCTGAAATATTACATAAATATCAAGCTAATGTCTCAGTCAAAGCAACTCAATATAATTTTGTACCTGCTTACCATACCTACCGCATTTTATAGCTAAATTTAAAAAAATCGCATCTATCCTTTTTGTTAACTAGAAAAATATTAAACGATTATTTACTCGAATATTAGTTGCAATATATAAATATATAATTTACCAAATATTTGGTTTTTCAGTAAGGCTTTTAATTTGTATACAATACACCAACCAAAATATTTTACTAAGAAATTTTCGAAACTCAAAAATTAATTTTATTAAATAAAAAATAATAAATCCTTAAAAAGTTTTAAAAACATTTACCTTAAAATGCTAATAACGAGGATCATTTTTTTTTTTCATTTTATTCCATTTATTTTTAACTTTAAATCTTTATAAGCTATAAAAGGAGGAAAAAATATTTCCGAAATTTTGCTCAGCTCTACGCAGCACTGCGTCACTTTTAGCACTATTATTGTACATGAAAAAGTTTAATTCACTGTAGCACTCACTCACCACACTTACCTACCTACACACTCGCATATACTATATACTCACATGCTCATTACACCAAACATTTGCCTCTCACTCACCACGCTTTGTTTATCACACTGCCACTTGTTTGTCGTGTTCTTCATTTCACCACTTTAACATATTTACTCTAGCTCACTCTCTCTCAGTTTTTTCATAATTATCTTTACTATTTCACTACACACATTTTGTATTTTCTATCTTTTACACAAATTTCATCCATTTTAGATTTTCATGCTAAATATAATAAGACGCGCATTGACAATGAATGTTTGAGTTTTCAATTTCAATGCGCCGATGGTATCTGCATTTCGGGCTACAAGCGTTGTAACGGCATTACCGATTGCGATGATGATTCGGATGAGATAAATTGTCCTTTAAATTATGATGACGCAAGTTATGGTATACAAACTCACTCATGATTTTTCCAAAGGAAATTCAAAATTATAACCAAATCCTTATGAAAAATTTCAACAAGATTCTTTTTTTAATTTAATTTTCGTAAAAAAATTTTTTCTTTCCTTTTGTTTTAATTTTTATCCCCTCTTTAAAAACAATCAGGCGTCATATTCCAACGCACATGTAATTGGCTCTCTCCCAGCAGTGTTTAAGTCCTCTGTGCACTACTAGAGCTGATCCTTTTTATTTTAAATATTTTTTTTTTTTTTAATAAAACAAGTTTTACTTTAAATCTTTTACCTTTTTTACTTTAACTATATACTATTTTTCATAATATTTACACAAACACATACATGAAACACCATAATACACTGCGTGTTGTTCTTTCTTCACCTCGCTCGCTCATATCGCTCTCGTTCGCATGTGTTAGAATTCGAACCGGATCCCGCGCTCATCGAATGCGATATATATGAGTTCGAGTGCGATTACTCGCGTTGCATACCGATTGAAAAGAAATGTGACGGTTATCCCGACTGCGATGACGAAACCGATGAATTTGATTGTCCGCCATTCACAGGTAAACTCACAAGGCTTCGTTGGCTGAAGTTCCCAACTACCATGCACAGTGGAAGATAAAGAAGCACAGCTAACTTAATTAACTAGACATTATTCGGAAAAATGTTAAATTTCGAGGTCTTAGAGTGCACTATGTGAAACTAATTTCCTGAATAAAATTCAAAAAAAAAAAATNAAATAAAATAAAATAAAATAAATTAATATAAAATAAAATAAAGAAAATAAAACAAACTGAAATTAGACAACATAAAACGAAATGAATGGAAACTACATAAATTAAAATAAAATTTTGAAAATGATAAAATTCCATCGCGATTTTGACCTTTAAAACTAACCTCGAAATATCCTAGTAATATCGCGTTCTAATTAACAATAACGAATTTTACATTAATTCCAGATTAAAAGCATGCAATTGTATATTTTTTCCTCAACATATTTTCATTGAGCTTTCATCATTTTTTCATTCTTTACTCTCCATGCACCCACAAAATCTTCATTCGTTCATTCATACATTTAACAGAACATTGCCATGAAAATGAATTTGAATGCGATCAAAATTATTGTATACTACGTGATCAACAATGCAACGGTGTTGTCAATTGCAATGATGGAACCGATGAGCAAAATTGCACAATCTGCCGCGATAAAGCTTTTCTGTAAGAAAAAAATCAAGCAGAGTAGAGAAAGGCAATATTTTATGGTATTTTTATTGAAATAAAAAAGTAGAGAAAGCTGTGACATATAACAGAACTTTTGATTAAAAAAAAAATTAAAAAAAATAAGCTTTTATGAACTATTTCTGTTTCAATATCATAGTATAGAAAACTGTAAACTTTTTTGTTAAAACTTTGCTTTTAAACCCTAAATATCCTAACTTCAGCTAAGCTTTTGTAAGAGCTTGCAATTACCCCAAAGAGCTTTTACAAAATGTTTACCTATTGCATATATTATAAATTTATACCTTTGCTCAACTCTTGATAAAGCTTTTGTTGCAAAAATCCTCAAACACTTTGAGGAGTTTTCGCAAAAACTTTAATTTTTAATTTTTTTCTTATAAATCTCTATATTCGTACATCGTTATTAAGCTTTTGATAAAGTTTTCTTTGTAGAAGTTTTGAAAGCCCCTTAAGAGCTTTTATAAAAGCTTTCAATATCGCTTATTTACTGCATAAAATATACATTTTTACTTTCGCTTCATTTTTGTTAAGGCTTTTGTTGCAGAAGCTTTCAAGCACCCGAAGGAGCTTTCATTATAAACATTTTTTTCTTAATTTTTTTAACGCCAAACCACAAAATATTGCCCGTTATTCACACCAAAATTAGTTTTTTGTATTAATTTATTTTTTTTTTAATGAATTTTTGTACGCGCACCACTTCATCATCATTACAACATGCCATAAAAAAATATATACATGCAACATACACATCAACATCACCAACACCAACAATATACAACATATCATCAATACACATTTACATGCATATATTGAAACCAACTGTCCGAACTGTCTGTCTACACGAACGAATAAAACAAAAAAAAAAATATATATATATATATATATAAAATGCTCCGCCGCCTTGCAGCTGTCACACAGGCGAATGCATTTTGTCCAAATTGCGTTGCAATGGTCAGACCGATTGCGTCGATGCTAGTGATGAATTAAATTGCGGTAAGTGCTGAAAGTGAGCATGCGGCAGCCCAACACTCCGTAGGTCAGGGCAGGTAGAGGGTAGATATTGTTGGTGGCACAAAATGTCTCTTATTTTATTTTTATTTTTTTTCTTATTTTTTAACTTTAGAGCTTCCATCGTAAGCTTTTTGATAACGCTAACACTGCTTGCTAGACAATTTGTATGGAAAAATAATATCAATTTTATACATATACGAGTATATATATATATGTACATATGTACATATACTCAAATTTTCCTTCACACCTTCTACGCCTTACATTTTCTCACTTAGCTTGCTACCAATTTTGCTCATACATACATATATATAAATTTATTTTAGAGTTGCTTTCGCTTCCTGCATTTTTAATGTGCCCTAAATATCAGTTTATACCGTTAGCTTGTCATTTAATTGGTTTATTAGTATTGAGATGAGCTTCAAAAACCCTTCCTTGCAGTTCTCACTTAAATCACGTTACATTTATGTTATGAATATACATATATATATTTTTTTATCTCTGACCTCATTTCACTTGAATTTTATGTTAAATTTGCTTTATTTGTTTAAATGCAACACAACAACAACAATAATGCACACATAAAATGCATACGCCCATCAACATCACCAAAAAATCAACCTGTGTTCATTTGTTTGTATGTATGTATGTGTCCAACGCACCATCACCGTTATATAGTCGATCCAGCATCGAGACGTATTGAATGTCCGGCACTGCAATTCATTTGTAACGGTACCTGCGTCGATTGGAGTCTACATTGCAATGGCAAAATCGATTGCGACGATGAAGTCGATGAACGAGATTGCGATGGTAAAATGAAATATGAAAATGCTCGAATTCTAACGGATTTTTTTTTTTTTCAAATAATATTAAGAGAACCGTTTCGAAAAAGAATTTCAAATATTTGGGCAATTGCAAAAAAAAAAACTAAAGAATTAAATTTGAAAAAATCTAAAAATAAAAATTTAAAAAAATTTAAAAAATTAAAAGAAACTTAAAAATAACTTTAAAAAAAATTTCAATAATAATTGAAAAAATTTCAATTAAATACTTTGAAAAACAAATTTCCGAAAATTTTTTAAAAATAATTTGTTATTATTTCTATTAAAGTTATTTAATTGAAACTAGAAAAAAGAAAACTTTTTTGAGAAAAAAATAATTTCGAAAATAAATTTTTTCTTAAAAGTTATTCAACCGAAAATCGAAAGCTGATCTTTTTTTGAGCAGTATTTCGAGAGAAGACTTCGAAAATTGTTTTTTTTTCTAGAAGTTATTGAAATCGAAAAGAAGTTGTGAAAATAATAATTTGGAAAAAAATTTCAAAATATTTTATCCTAACAATTGCAACTAAAAAAAAAACTCCAAATTATTTACTTTCTAAAGTTATTTTAAAAAATTCTGTAAATCCTTTCTGAAACATTTGTTTAGAGAATTCTTTAGATTTTTTTTTAGAAAATTCTTCAGATTTTTTTCTACAAATAGTTATTAGAAAACCCGAAAAACCAAACAATTCTTTTGAAAAAAAAAATTCAAAAAAGTTTATCTAAATACTATTCAAACAGAAATCGAAGAAAAAATTTTACTTAAAAAAGACTCGAAATATCAAAAAAAAAAAAAAATAAAACGAGAAAAATTTAAAATACCTGTTTTACCAGCAAACAAAAAAAAATACGTTCTTTATTAACAAAAAGAAAACTCTCAAAGAAAACTTATGGTTACAAAATTTCGGAGCAATAGAAAAATAGTTCGAATTTCGAAAAAAAAAATCCAATAAATGTTTTAACTTTCAACTTTCACATACATATACAGAAGAAAAAAAATTTCAAAATTTTTTTAAACCGACCTAAATTTTATACTTAGAAATAGATTAAACTTTCAAAACAGTAGAAAAACTGGATAAAACCAAGGAAAAGCTCTGAGAAACCACGCTGAAAGCTTTTTCACTTTTTCCAAATAAGTTTTTACAAACTTTTAGTGAAAAGCTTTTAGTATGCAATAAAGTAGCTTTCATACTTTTCAAAATTCAATTTTCACATTTATCAAAAAAGCTTTCACACTAACATCGATTTCCTTTTCGAACGCTTATTTACTTTTCCATTTACATGTTTTTATGTATCTAATTATGTATATATTTTTATATTTTAATATTTTTTTATTTATTTGTTTTCTTCCATTTCATAAACAAATCATCCACGCACAACACATAACCTCACTTACGTACATTGTGAATCTTTTTTTCTGTTATATGTAATCACTGTGTTTCTGTGTTAAAAACAAAACAAAAACCAATAAACATAAAAAATAAAATTAAATTATTATGAAATATGTACAGTTAGTGAAAATGAAATAACAAATTTCATAACGAATAAAACCTGCCAAGCCTACCAATGGCAATGCGACAACTCACAGTGTATCAATAAAGATTATTTGTGCGACGGAACGGCAGATTGCACAGACGGATCCGACGAATCGACCAGGCAATGCGAGAAGAAGGGTAAAAACTACGAAAAAGAAAATCTATGAGCTTAATTTTTCAAATAAAAAAAAACCATATTTAAAATATTAAAATAAAATAATATTTTTTAAACAATTTTTTTGGCAAAATTATTAAAAAATAATATTAAAAAATATCGAAAAAGTCTTTATAAAAAAATTTTAATTAATTTATCAATTTTATGTCATTCTAATGTCACACATATGTTTCTTGTAAATATATTTATGTAAATGTATATGTTTAGGAAAATGTTTTGCCATCTAAAAGCTCATATTCAATTGATTCATATTAACAACTAATCTAAAACATTTTTACATTTATCTCTTTCCAATTGTCTTTCGCTCTCTGTGTCGCTCTCTACCCACGACAACCTGCATCGCCTCATACAACCATGCTTTTCATCATAACTCTCTCTCTCTCCCATCAACGCCACACCAACGCTTATCGCTTAACCCTGCCCGCAACAGTTGCGACACGCCACACACCCGAGGACTGTACGGCCGATCAACACTTTTGCGACGACGAATGTCGCCCAGCCAGCATACGTTGTAATGATGTTAGCGAGTGTACGGACGGTAGTGATGAGATTAACTGTACACCCGCATATACGCCGAGCACACGCCGACCACTAACCATCTACCCGTGTCCGATGCATACCTGTCCGAATGGCAAATGCTATTCGGAGAGTGAACGTTGTGATGGTTCGCGTGATTGTGACGATGGTGCCGATGAGGCAAATTGTAAGTGTAAACGGTTCCAGAGCGATGTGCAGGCCGTGCCAAAGCACATACAGTCTGCAATTCTCATATGCTTTCTTATATTAGTAATCGAAGTATTGTGTGCACTCGTTATTCATTGTAAATGCACTGACAATTGGTTAACGCGAGATTTGGCAATATACCGTCGAAAGTAAATGCAAATGAAGTCAGGCAAGTTTCAATAGACAACATTTTTGAAAGCCCCGAAGATGACCCCTACAGAAGTTTTCGGCCGACAGAAGCATCATCGTGGGGCATAAATATCGCATTTAGGAAATTCACTCATTTCTGATGATACCAACGAACATCTACGAACATCTGACCCCTTCATAGGGGTCGTTGTAGCCAGGACATTGAGTTCTGTGCGGAAAGAGGTTCCATGAAGACCTTAAAACTATCTGTCTCTTCACGAGAACGTCCATAAAATGAGCTGACTCACACAAGCTCATCAAATCTATCTTTGTTTCGCTAGACGAGAGCTGCCTTTATGGTTGTGTTTTTCATTTACTCTTTAGCTACTTAAAGCTCAAGTCCAATTAAGATATAAGCTCCGTCCTTTGAGTGGTTGGAAGTCTAAAAACTCTTTTTCTCGGAACCGGGCTCAGTCTTGGAGCAGCCATACTCCACAAGAGAAGTACAAAAACTAGGCTATTTACATCAATTCTTTAAAGCTCATTGGTTCGCTGATGTGGACGTGGTTTAATGTTATTCCAGCTAAGCTCGGGTCTGTGGAGTCGATTCTTTGGCTACCGGAAAGCTTTGTTATTATTCGGGTCGATGGAGTCGAATCTTTGGCTACCGGAAAGCTTTATTATTTGAGCTTCGATTGAAAATCACATTTTTTTTGCTTCTCGATGTCTCTTTGAAGTCAAGCCTCAATATATTCACTTCGACGGCATCAATAGATATTCGTTTTCGGTTTTCCGAGGGAATTTTTGTTTCCTTTCTTTATTCAATTCTAAGAGCTCGAAGGCCTAATCAATAATAAATATATATCATCCCCAAAGACTTTGAAAGATGCGGACTTCTGAAAGTAAGCGATTCTTGAGCTCCAAGGGATCAAATCTGCTCCACGGTAGCAAGATCTTTTAGATTTCTGCACTTTAAAAACCGCTTAAATGAGTTTCGCACGAATCTCTCACCTTCGGTTAGTTGAATTCGTCTTGATAATTCTGATGATGATGAGTCGGCGGTACAAGCACTGCATGTCAGGGAGCGGATATAAAAGTAGAAGGTTTTTTCTCCAAAACTTTGTTGAGTCGGAAATACTTGATCAGCCAATAATCCAAAAAAACCCATAATTTTTAAATCGAACCCACTCGATGTGGATACTTTTTTCCTTTCTTGACTTCATTTGCCTTACGAAAATTCAAAATTTCATCGCTGCACTTTAAATAAAACATATTTATATGTATGTACATACACACACATTTTTAAATATGTCATACAGTTGTTTTTGTCATTGTAATAGAAGCACTTTGTACAATACATACGATTTATATTAACCTTATAGCATCTACATACATAAGTACGCTTATTATATTATATATATATATGCTCATAAATATTTGTATGTATGTCTATTTAAGAGCATTTTATTTGCAGTAAGAGGGACAGAATTTGGAAGAAAAAATCATAAAAACATAAATTAAATTTTTTATACAAATTCTGCTGCTCTCTCTCTCTTTCTCTCACTTCATTCATTTTTTTTTTTTTTGCTTTCTTCTGTGCAATTTTTTATACACATTTCTCTGAAGGATCAACCAAAATAAATATATTATATATATATATATATATGTATTTAAATCACCTACTTTTTGTAAATATAAAAAACACTTTATTTCAATACGCTAAGGCACCACCTGCAAGGAGTATGAGTTTCTATGCTTTGATCGTCTGTACTGCATAAATGAGACGCAACATTGCGATGGATACTACGATTGCAAAGATTTCTCTGATGAGCAAAATTGCATTGGTTAATATTTTTTTGCTTAAATGCAAGCTTCTACTTCAATTTAAGTTTTCAAAATAATTTTTGCTGCCTGCATGGTTGTTTACTTTGAGCAAAATACTCCTAAATTTATTAATATGAAAAAAAAAAATATTTTTTTTATAGTTTTAAATATTTTTAGTCACTTTTTATACATTTTATGAAAGTTTTTAATACTTTTAATCAAATTTTATTAGTTAGAAATAAATATATTTACTTATTCATAATTAATTTCTCTAATATTTTTTTTCTATTATAAACTGTTGCTAAATTTATTTTATTAGAATAAGTTTAATTAAACTTTATACAATTCAACTTAGTTTAAATTCTTTTTCTATTTAATTTTTTTCTATTTTTTTATTTTATTTTACTGAAAATGATTTCCATTCGTTTTATTTTATTTTATTATTTTATTTTTTTGTTTGGCTGTAAATAATGTTTTTTTTTATTTAATTTCGTTATTTATTTGTTTTTATTTATTTATTTAAGTTTATTTAAAATAATTTTATTACATTTAATTTTATTTTGTTGTATTTTACAGTAATTTATTTTATTTTATATTAATTTATTCTATATTATACAATTTTATATTTTTACTTTTTTTGTTTGATTGTATTATCCTTTTGTTATTTCTTTTATTTTATTTTATTCCATATATAATTTTCTGCTTTATAATTAATATTATATTTTATTTATTTAATTTAATTTATTTTATTTTGTTTGTATTTATTTTCTCTCATTTTATTTTATCTTAATTTTATTTATTTTAATTTATCTAATTTATTTTGTTTTGTTTATATTGTATAATTTTAATTCTAATTATTTTATTTTATTTTATATTATTTTATTCTATATTATTTAATTTTATAATTTTTATTTTTTGTTTAATTGTATTATCCTTTCGTTATTTCGATTTCTCTAATTTTATTTTATTCTTTTTATTATTTTTCGCTGCTTCTTTATATATTACTTTATTTATTTTTATTTTATTTTATTTTTCTTTATTTTCTCTCTATATTTTATTTTAGCAATTTATTTTAAATTATCTTATTATATACTTTTGTTTTATTTGAATTAATATTTAGTTTAGAATTTTATTTTATTTTACTTTAATTTGTTTTATTTTATTTTAACTAAATTAACTTATTTAATTTTTTACGTTATATTATTTCATTTTAATGTCTCTTTATTTTCCATTTTATTTTACTTTATTTTATTCTATTTTATTTTTTTTATTTTTTATTTTTTTCTTTTATTTCATTATAGTTAATTTAAATTTTTTTTTAATTTATTTTGCTTTAATTGATGTAATACATTTTATGTTTTTATTTTCTTTTTGGTTAATTTAATTTATTTTCTTAGATATTTTATATTTTGTATGATTGCTTATTTTATTTTAATTTATTTTATTAAATTTTTTATATTGTATTTCTTGATTTAATTTTATATATTTCTTTATCTTGTTTTTTTTTTATTTTTTTTTTTGTTTGTTTAATTTTACTTTAGTTTTTTGTTATATATTAATTTATTTTATTGTTTAATTATTTTTTATTTATTTATATATATTTATTACTTTTTTTATTTTATAATATGTTTTTATTTTTTATTTTTTTAATAAGTTCACTTAATTTTTTTCCTTTATTTTTGTTCTTAATATTTTCTTGCTTTTATTTTACTCACATTTCAATTAAATTTATTTATATTAAATGTTTTGTTTTATTTTTTCTGTTCTTTAAATATTTACTTTTAAATAATTAATTGGTTTTTTAATACTTAAATATTTTTAAATTTGTTTTATACATCTTAACTTTGTTTATTTAAGTTTTTATAGCAGTTTTAATTTTTTTTATCTCTAAGCGCATGCCAACTCGAAAATTTGGCAAATTATTCTCAATTTTCTATTAAACTTTTATTAGTTGTACCACCCAGTGCACCCTGTGCTGCGCATGTTTTTTTACCTACACCCTGTAAAATGTTTTTCCTCTCAAATATTAAACATATTCTCTGTCAAAATACAAGCAACTTTTTGTCCACCTACCGACCCACCAAACATGTTTACCACCTCATATTCAACACAAATTGATTATTATACTCTCCTCTTTTCTATTTAAAATTCAAATCCTTTAGGCTGCGCTGCTAATCAATTCCGTTGCCGCAATGGTGATTGTGTCTCGCGCAACGCTCAATGTAACGGTTATCCCGATTGTCGCGATGGCTCAGACGAAGATGACTGCTCGGAAGCAACACTGCCATTTGTGCCATCCTGTTCGGCGGCGCAATTCCGCTGCAATAACGGTCAGTGTATAAATGCGGCGGCGCGTTGTAATGGCTATACCGATTGTGCTGACAGTTCGGATGAGCTCTCGTGCAGTAAGTAGTGTTGCCTCTTTCTTTTATGTAAATATTTCTCTCAAAACTATCTTTCGTTCATTGAAAATTTCCATTAAACACTCACTCTTTACATATCACCAATTTTCTTAAACATTTTACTTACATTCATACATGCATACACACATATCTACATACATACATCCGCATCCACAACTGCAACGTCGCTCAGAATATCTACGTGAACCGCAATTCGAGTACGAAGGCTCCAGCAAAGCTTGCGCTCCGCTGATGTTTCGTTGTGAGAATGGTCAATGTATACGTAATGCTCAGCGCTGTAACGGTATTGTTGATTGTCCGCTCGATATTAGTGATGAGTTGGACTGCAATGCCGGCTCAAATGAAATTGAACGTAAGTTTTTGGGGAATTTAACAGCAGCGGTGAGGGTAAAGTAAGAATCAAGCAACAAGTGATCCAGCTCTTACTTGTTGTATGCCTCGCACGCGATTAACAACTAACGGTTATTAACACTTGCACTGATCCCCGTGGGCGTGATAGGATAGACTCCAACTCACTGCGGTGGATCCACCTGTCGAGGCTGAAAGTTCCGCCAACAACCGCAAGCGAGGAGTTAGTTCAATAATGGCCAACAGGGCGAACTGCTACGTGGTTCGAGCAGAACAGACTCACTGAGTCCCAGTATTTCTTTACATCTCACTCATTATCTCTGTATAAATCACTGCATGCTTCCTTTGCTCGAACTGCTTACTCATATTTCCTATACACAGTACACAATACTATTGCTTCTCTCCGAAAGCTCTCCTTCTGGTTGTACTCTAATCACTCATCGAACATTCACTATTTTTTTATTTTTTTTTATTTTATATAAATAGAAGATTTTTCACTTATTTATCTTTCTCCCACAGCTGCCACCGATGTTTCTCCCGCCAATCCACAATTGAACTTGAAGACCTATCCCGATAGTCAGATTATCAAAGAAAGTAAGTATCAGGTAGCCTGCGGCGCTACCTCACAGAATTACAACCTTTTCCCGCTGAGAAATTGACCTCTCAGCAGTACGAAGAGCCGCTAGAGTGAAAGTTACTTTAAAAGCGAAAAATCTTCAAAAGAGAATTTTCACGCTCTCGGCTAAATTCGTCAGCTTAAACTTCGTTTCTGTTCGGCTTTAAAATAATTTATGCTTTTTATACTATATTTCGCTTCTATCTTCCCCGAATTCGTAATTAAATAAAAAATAAATAANAAAAAAAAATAAAATTAATTAAAAAAATTTATTCAATTAAAATAAAATAAAAAACAATGAAATTAAAATAAATTAAAAACTAAAAAAAAAAAACGAAAACAAAAAATAATAATTTAAATTACTCACAGGATATATTAAGGAGGGTAAGTCGGCTATTAATTTCCTTACTGCTTAAATGAGCATGCAACAGTGCTCACCTTGTATGAGTTCCCCACCCAAGTGGCACGACACTGGCAAAGGAATGCAAATGCACTTTTGTAATTCCACTTGTAAATACAATAAATTTTATACATAAATATATACCAATACATATAAACACCCCAACCACCATGCAAGGTCCAGTCATGACTCCTTAGATACTCTCAATAATAGAAAAAAACGAAACTACGTACACCTTGTATTATATGCAACACAGAACCGCACCGAATGCTTTACACCCTCTCCGCTCGCAATAAAAGACACTAAACACTTTAAATCACTCTCCCACAGGTCGCGAAGTCATCTTCCGTTGCCGTGATGAGGGTCCACAGCGCGCACGCGTCAAATGGACACGCCCAGGCGGTCGTCCGCTACCGATCGGCTCACGTGACAATGGCGATGGTCGTCTGGAAATACCCAATATACGCGTAAGTAACACAGAGTCGTGGTTTCGAGAGCGCGCCGTAATTGTCATGTTTCTTGCAGGTCGAAGACTCTGGTCAATATATCTGTGAGGCTGTAGGCTATCCACGTCATGTGTCGGGACAACAAGTGCTCGTACATCTGACTGTTGAGAAATGTAAGTATTGCAAGCAATTTTCAGAGACATAAATATGTATATATGTATTGTCAACCCACATCCCTAACCGATCGGACGCAGCCTATAATGACAATAAATATCAATTACCCGCGCATAAACTCAAATATGGCAGTGTGCCACATATCGGACCAGAATTGTTCGGTCTAGGTACTTGTAAATACATTTTGTAATTTCCATGCACGATTAACGGTAATAAAAATTCAATTTTTCGTTTTCCCTTTGGTCCGCTTACTGGACTTCGTGTTCCCTACAATGTGCTCGGTAAACATATAACACAAATCTTGTCCCTTTTCAGCAGATTTGAGATTTCTCTTTAACGCTCTTCTTATTCTTCTACCTCTTCCCCCTCAGCCAATCCCAACTATGATCGCCCGCCAACAGCTTGCCGTGCCAACCAGGCTACATGCCGCAACAATGATTGTATCGACAAGGCTTTGATCTGCGATGGCACCCCACACTGCTCGGATGGTTCCGACGAGGAGAGCTGCAGTCACGGTCTCAAGTGTCAGCCGAATCAGTTCATGTGCCGCAACTCACGTTGCATTGATCGCATCTGGCGTTGTGACGGTGAGGACGATTGTTTCGATAACTCCGATGAGGACAGTTGTGATCCGGAGCCAAGTGGTGCGCCATGCCGTTATGACGAGTTCCAGTGTCGCAGCGGTCATTGCATACCGAAGAACTTCCAATGTGACGATACGAATGATTGCTTGGATGGCAGCGATGAGATCGGTTGTGGTAAGTCCACATTGAAACTAAAGTAAGACTCTCACTCCCCTCCACTCACTCTCTATTTCTCTCTCTCTATTTTCACTTTCCGTAGTTGCGCCTGCGCCAATACGTCCACCTCCTCCTTACGTCCGCCTGCAACAGGGCGATGCTTTGAATATTAGCTGCGTAGGTGTCGGTGTACCCGTGCCACTCATCGTCTGGCGTTTGAACTGGGGCCATGTGCCTGAGAAGTGCGTGTCGCGTAATTATGCCGGATCTGCTACACTCTACTGCCCCGGCATGGATAGCGTGGATCAAGGCGCCTATTCCTGTGAGATAATCAACTCGAAGGGTCGCATTTTCGTCACCCCCGACACTCATGTATCGGTGGAGCCGAGCCGACCCGATTTGGATGTCTGCCCTGCCGGTTTCTTCAACATGCTTGCACGTCATCCGGATGAGTGTATTAACTGTTTCTGTTTCGGCATATCGAAGACCTGCAAGAGCGCCAATCTGTTCAACTTTGCCCTTCAACCGCCAATCACATCGCACAAAGTAAAGAATGTGGAGCTGAACCCTTACGGTGATGTTATCATCAACGAGGCGCCACAGCCCAATATACTGAGTCGTCTTCACGGCGTTCAGTTCCGCGTGTCTGATGTGGGCTACAACAGTCGCGAGCAACCCTACTTAGCGCTACCGATCGATTACATGGGTAATCAGTTGAAATCTTACGGTGGCTATCTGCGTTACGAAGTCAATTATATGGGCAATGGACGTCTGAACAAAGTACCCGATGTTATAATCACTGGAAATGGCTACACGCTTACACATCGCGTGCGCAACCAACCGGAACCGAATGTCAACAACAAAATCTCTGTACAATTCCATGCTGGTAATTGGTACAAGACCGACGGCCGTCGCGCAACACGCCAGGAGATTATGATGGTTCTGGCCAATGTAGACAACATACTCATTCGTTTGAGCTACATTGATGCCACCGAACGTGAGGTTGAGCTGACCAACATCTTCATGGACTCGGCTGGTTTAACGGACCAAGGTTTGGGTTCAGCTTCCTTAGTGGAAAAATGTACCTGTCCACCTGGCTATGTTGGCGACTCTTGCGAGTCTTGTGCGCCCGGTTATGTACGCGAGAAGTACGACTGGCTGGGACGCTGCGTGCCATTTGTGCCGGAGCAATGTACAGCAGGCACTTATGGTGATCCGGCACGTGGTATACCCTGCCGTCCATGCCCATGTCCACAAACTGGAGCCGGCAACTTTGCAAGCACTTGTCAACTCGGTCCTGATGGTGACGTTATCTGCAATTGTTTCGAAGGCTACACCGGCAGACGCTGTGAGTCCTGCGCTCCAGGTTATCAGGGCAATCCATTGGTGCCAGGCGGCAGCTGCTACCCAATACCGGAGAGCACTTGCAACGCCGAGGGTACCTACTACCCACACCCTAACGGCACCTGCGAGTGTAAGACACTTGTGGTGGGTCCACGTTGTGACACCTGCGCGCCGGAGTCTTTCCACTTGAACAGTTTCACCTACACCGGCTGCATTGAGTGCTTCTGCAGCGGTCTCACCAAGCAATGCTCCAGCAGCAGCTGGTACCGGGACCAGATTTCGACGAGCTTTGGTCGCTCGCGTGCACCACACGGCTTTAAACTCATTCGCGATTACGAGACGCCCGAACCAATTGTTTTCCAACAATCGAATAGCGCGCTCCAATTTAGTTCGACCACCGGCTCCGAACCACTCTATTGGAGTTTGCCTGCCACATTCTTGGGTAACAAGATTACTGCCTATGGTGGCAAACTTGCCTATAATCTCAGCTACAACGCACTGCCCGGTGGTTTTATGTCCCGCAACAGCGCACCCGATGTGGTCATCAAGGTGAGTAGAATTGAGGAGACCGTTACATGTATAAGGTATAAGCAAACTAATAAAAACTTCATACTTCTCGCAGGGTGAGGATGTGACCATGGTACATTATCGCAAGGCTAGCGTAAGCCCCAGCCAACCCAGCTCATACTCTGTGCCGATCATTGAAAGCGCCTGGCAGCGTTCGGACGGTCAAGTGGTCAATCGCGAGCACTTGCTGATGGCACTCTCCGACATCTATGCGATCTACATCAAAGCCACCTACACCACCGGTACCAAGGACGGTCAGTTGACGCACGTCTCACTAGATATTGCGACCCAAAATAACATCGGCACACCACGCGCCTACGAAGTGGAGGAGTGCCGCTGTCCAATCGGTTACATTGGGCTCTCCTGTGAGCGTTGCGCACCTGGTTATAAACGTGAGAGCGAAGAGGGTCTCTATCTAGGCGTTTGCATACCTTGTGAATGTAATGGACACTCGACGCAATGCGATGCCGAAACCGGCGTTTGTGTGGTAAGCTCTTCACAGATTAGAATACTTTGAAGTACACTCTACATTTTAAACACGATCCCTTCTTTTTAACTAGAACTGCGATCACAATACCGCTGGCGATTACTGTGACCGCTGCGCAGCCGGTTATACAGGCAATGCCTCCGGCGGCACACCATATGACTGCACACCCGATTACGCACCACCCCCACCGAGCAATCAGTCCTCTTGTTCTTATTGTAATCGCGCCGGTACTGTATCGTGCGACGGCGGCTACTGCGCTTGTAAACCCAATGTGGATGGGGCATACTGCGACCGTTGTCGTCCCGGCACTTTTGGACTCTCCGAGCGTAATCCCGATGGTTGTGAGGAGTGCTATTGCTCTGGCAAGAGCACACAATGCAACTCTGCGCTGCTGTACCGCCAACTGATACCCGTCGACTTTATACTCAACGCGCCGCTCATCACAGACATTAAGGGCGAGGTGATAGACAACAGCAATCAAAACTTCGATTTCCCCACCAACTCGTACACCTACAATTATACATCGTACACCGAAAAATACTGGAGCATACGCGGCTCCGTGCTGGGCAATCAATTGTACTCGTACGGCGGTCATCTCTCCTACAATCTGGATGTGGAAACTTATGGTGACTACGTGCCCGGCAAAGATGTCGTACTGATCGGTAATGGCATGGAACTGCACTGGTCGCGTCCGGATGAAGAGCAAGACAGTAATGAATACCGCGTACGCTTGCATGAAGACGAGGAGTGGCAGCGTACTGAGTACGGCAGCACAATACGCGCCACCCGCCTGGACTTCATGAATGTGCTGGCCAACTTGGAGCACATTTTGATACGTGCCACAACTAAAATACCCACCACACGCACGAGCATACGCGATGTCATACTCGAGTCGGCAGTGGAGCATCGTACACCCGACGCTACGCAGGCTGTAGAAATTGAGCTCTGCACTTGTCCGGCGGGCTACTCCGGCGCCTCATGCGAGAAATGCGAACCGCTGCATTACAAGGATAACTACGGCAGCTGTGTGGCCTGTCCGTGCCGTGAAGACACCACCGACTCGTGCTTCCTGCAACGCAACGAAGTGGTCTGCCAATGCAAGCCCGGCTACAGCGGCCAACAGTGTCAAGTTAATGGTAAGTAGATTTTTGTTGTGAAAACGGTTAGTGCAGGGGTGAGTTAAGAGTTAAGTGGTATACCCACCTATCAGAGGAGCTCGCTGCTGTGAGAAAGGAACTCATTTAGAGAGCAACAGAGCAGAGCACAGTTTAAAAGCTCACTCACATAAACACCAGTGTAGATTAGGGTTGTAACGGAGCTTCGATATGGGAGCCGTTTAATGAAATTATGAAATCTTCTCGCAGCTTATGAGGCCAGTAAGTCGAATTTTCTTTAAAACCATGCTTTCCAGCTCGGCTCTCGTGACGTCGGTGAACCTGTAGCTGTTACAACCCTAATATACATACATCCGAGCAAAAGCCGCTTGCGATTCTTCAGCTTTTTACATGCTAGTTTTGAGCCTCACTCTCTCTCTCTCTCTCTCTCTCTCTCTCTCCTCTTTCTATCGTACTCCGTCTGCCGCTCGCTCGGAACGCTTGAAAAATCGTGGGCAGCTTTTTTTTTCTTTTCAAACCTCAAACCTAAAATATACATTTTTAAAATTGATTTTCCTCTTCTCCTCCACTCGTCTCTCCCCCACCCGTTCGCGAAAAACCAATAGTAAAAACCAACAAAACTGAAAAATCTACACTCATTGACAAACCGGATAGTTTAGTACGTGACCCTGCCACCATCAACAACAACAACAATAATAATAACAATAACGGCAACAACAACAACAACTGTTGTAGTGGCTTCAAAGTGGACCTCTTGCCGAATGAGACACTGCCGTTCAATGAGACTCTACAGTTGTTTAACGGTAATCGTAATATAGGCAACATAACGAAGCTGCGAAACGATTGCAATCGGCGAGGTTCGAATATTTAAAAAATATATATATTTCAATGTAGTACAAATGGAACAACTTTTTTGGAGTAGTCCGTAACTGAGTAGTTATCTATGTAGTTCCTCTAACTACTTTTTAGTACCTTTTGCAGTGTTTGCAAATGTAGAAGATCTCTTCCATTGTTTGCATATCGGTTTAGTTGCTCAGCTATGTGTATTTTCAGAAGGATTTTGAAATTTCCACTATTTGTATTCGTATTTAGAAAATGGTATTTTTTAAATAAATGTTTCCTCCAAAAGATCCCCTTGTTAGACCCAAAACAGACAAACAAATAAGTAGTACCACCTCAAATGGTTGAGTTGCAGTTGAGGAGGTAGAGCGTAGTTACTCTTAGTTCTGTGTTCTATGTGTTGTTTTTTGAAGTCTCTCGAAAACTCTCACCGTTTTTAGGTTATTATCGTAAATGTCCCTCTTACAAATACTAAACGTTCTTTCACCCCCACCTAAAATATAGTGTCTTCGTAGGCATTGCTGAAAGTATTTACTCGTAAACAAAATATAACACCGTTACACCCGATCCCAGCTAATCCTCTGTAGTGAATTTCTAACACTTAATTTTTGAACCGAACAACAAAAGCTTCTACCACCACAGCCACAAACATATTCGATTTAGAAAAGCAGACATAAATTAAAAAGTATTTACTAAGAATAAAATAACAAATATTGGGTATTTACTAAATTACATACATATGTCTTAACATATTAGGGTGGTTCAAAAACTAATAATTTTAGGCCAAGAAAATTTTATTCATACCAATTTGGCTACGAGAAAAAATAGTTTCTAACAAAAAAAAATACATTTTTAAAAGCTCTAAAATAAAATTAAAATATTGTATATTCCACAAAAAAATAAATTAAACTTAACTAAGTAAAATTAAATCAATTCAAAATCATAACAAAATAAAACAACAACATAAATTAAATTAATAAGAAATACAATAAAACTATTAAAAATAAATAAAAATATAAAAAATTAAGTCAAGCCAAATTAAATTAAATTAAACAAAAAAATTATTTAAAATTAATTATATCAGTAAAATAATAAAACTAAAAACAATAAATAAAATTAATGAAGCTAATTTAAATTAAGTTTAACAAAAAAAATTATTTCAATTTTATTAATATTAATTATGTCAATAATAACAATAAAAAATAATAAAACAATCAATCAAAATAAATTAAAATAATTCACATAAGCTAAATTAAATAATAAACCCTACAAAATAATAAAAATGAAACAAATAAAAATAAAAAATAAATAAAGCTAATTTAAATTAGATCAAATAAAAAAAATTAATTTAATTTAGCAAAGAAATTTATTTCAGTTTAATTAAAAGTAATGATATCAATAAAAACAATAAAAACTAATAAAACAATTAATCATAATAAATTAAAATTATTCACATAAAAGGAAATAAATTTAAACTTAAATAATTATTAAATACAGTAAAATAATGAAATTAAAAATATTAAAAATACATTGAATTAAATAAAAATAAATATATTTAATGAAAAAAAAAATAAATTAAATAAAAAAAATCAATATAAAAATGAAATTAAGCTAATTTAGATTAAATTAAATTTAAAAAAATTGAATTAAATTTAACAAAAAATATTATTTTCAATTTAATTAAAATTAACTATGTCAATAATAACAATAAAAACTAATAGAACAATTAATTTAAAGTATTCATATAAAATAAAATAAATTTAAACTTAAATAAAGATTAAATACAGTAAAATAATGAAATCAAAAATATTAAAAATAAATTGATTTAAATAAAAATAAATACATTAAATGAAAATAATAATAATTTAATTAAAAAAATTTAATTAAATAAAAAAATTATTCAATTTCGTTATAATAAATAATGCTAATAATAGCAATAAAATATTAAATAAATAAATTAAATAATAAATACAATAAAATATTGAAATTAAAAATATAAAAAAAAAATTGAGTTAAGTTAAATTAAATTAAAATCACAAAAAATTAATTTCATTAACTAAAAAAAAACCAATTAAATTTTAATTATATCAATAAAATGTAATAAAAAAAATTAATTATATTAAATGAAATAAACTAACATAATTAAAACAAATTAAAAATAAATTTAAAACATTAAATGGAAAAACAAACCAAAATTTGAACGAAGCAAAATATTTTAATTAAATAAAATAATGCGAAAAATTATACAAAAAACATTGGACTAGTAAAAATTAATCCATTAATTTTTCGGTTTATGTCAATTATGAACCAAATCACTCGCCATGAACTTGAGCAGATGGTAAACCAAACTGGACTATAAGGTGGATGCATAGGAACCACACAATCAAGCTCTCGGTGCTTCTGGCGAGTCAATATCGACTAGCAGTACAGCTTTGAATTAAGAGTTTTGCCGTTAATGGATTACTTTTCACTTGACCTCATACCATTTGATTGATTTTCTTCAAATAAGTCTAGCATAAAATAAATAAATAAAAAAATATTTTTATAAATTTACATCTTATTACGATGAAAGAAAAAAAAATTAAAATTTCGGGCCATTTTTGAACCACCCTAATGTAAACAAGAAAAACTGCGCCAACTTTTTAACGAAACCCAGCAAAAAGCTTACATATTCAACGAGCTTTTTTAGTATAACTTAAAATTAGTTAACACAATTGTTTAACAGTAGAACGCTTGCGTAAGTTTCACATAGGTTCCTGGCGGTGCGGTGAGCGGCAAGGCGCAGTAAATTCATGCAGAATGTTGTAAAAAGCACGGAGAATCTTCGGTAAAAGCTCTTGAGAAACATGAGACATCTGCTGACATTTACTAACGCTTTGCTGCTCACCAGCACCCACACGCCAGATGTCACTAATCTAAATGTTTAAGCGCGCGCACCGGCGACGTGCGTAGGCACATCCGGCAGACTCGCTTTGTCCATGTGTGCGCGCCAACAATAAATTGCAATATCAAGGCTTGTTTTTATTAAAATTACATTTCACTCACACCTCTAGACGTCTATCCACCCCGCCCCGAGCCGACGCGTCCAACACCACCACCAGCACTGCCAGAGTATCAAACACAAATTACCGTTTCAATTGCGCCACCTCAATACGAAATCATACCGATTGGTGGCTCCCTGACGCTGACCTGTACCGGCCGCATGGCCTGGAATGGCGTAAGTAGACCCTATTGTATTCGCTTGACTCGCACTGATTTGGTTAACCCGCATTCTGTTTCCACCTCTGCAGCTGCCGGTGTTTGTGAATTGGTTCAAACTGGGCGGACGTCTGCCCAACGCCGCTGAAGAGGAGGACGGCATTTTGCGCTTGTACAACCTACAAATCTACGACTCCGGTGTGTACGTCTGTCGTGCGGTGAACAATGACACGAAACGCGTTTTCGAAGATAAGGTTTCCATTACAATCTCAGGTGAGTTCTTAAGAGGGTTTTGAGACTTTGCCATAAAAAAAATGTTAGTTTGATAATATCAACTTGCCACATTTCGTTCAACACGCAAACTCGTAATGGACGCAGCTTACGCCAGTGAAATGTTGGCGCGTTACGGTAATAAACTTTAGTGTAGTGGCTCAAGCTCTATTTCTGTACAAAAAACTTTCAAAAAAAAAATTTTACTAATTCCTTCCTCTCTTCCCTCCCACACAGAGGACTCCCTACGCACCGGTCCACGCATTGAGAATCTACCACAAGTCGTGGAATTCGAAGAGTACCAAACGAATGAGATCAACTGCGAAGTGAGTGGCAATCCCACACCCACCGTCACCTGGACACGTGTCGACGGTCGCATGTCAATGGAGGCGCACACCGATGGCACCCGTCTGATCTTCGATGCGCCGCGCAAGTCGGACGAGGGCAGATATCGTTGTAAAGCCACAAATCCACTTGATACCGTTGAGAAATATACACAAGTGTATGTGCGTACCTCCCCACCGGTGCCACCGCCACCACCACGTGAACTCATCTACATCGAACCGCCATCATACACCGGTGAATCGGGCGATAGCGTGCGACTCACCTGCCAACCCACCACCTCGATTGTGCTCGTCTATGAGTGGAACAAGGACGGCTACCCGCTATATCGTCAGAGCAATGTAATTGTGAGTGGCAATACGCTTGAAATACGCGAGGCCACCGCACGCGACTCTGGCTACTACACTTGCATTGGCATCGATCTACGCAACCGGCGCAACTATACCAACGATGCGCAAGTTGTGATCGAGGAAAGCAACTATCCGGCACCAGGTCCACTACCGGGCACGTAAGTGTTCATGTCTAGGTATTTATTGCGCATTAACCAACATGAACTTATTACCGTTACAGCATTGCGCCTGTAGTCAAACGTTTGCCCGAAGAAAACCGCATTGCACAAGGGCAAGATTTCTCTATTACCTGCGAGGCAAGCGGCTCACCCTACCCCAGCATCAAATGGACGAAGGTAAGTTTTCGCACATTCGTAAGCCCGAATTCCCGCATTTACTCACTCTCTTTACAGTTCCACGCTGCGCTCGCTGACAATGTACAGCAAACCGGTAATGTTTTGCGTATCATAAACGCACGCCCCGAGAACGGCGGCATGTATCTGTGCATAGCCGAGAATGTGGCCGGCTCTCATGAGTCCAGCACTATAATCGATGTTGATCGTAAGTATTGAGCCCGACTGGGTGCCCCAGAAACACCTAACCCGTTATACGAAACCGACACCTACAAATCATTTGTATACATATACTGTTACACCACACAAAATCCAGTCTTGAGACAATATACAATAGTATCTCAAAGTAAACTCAACTCGTCATTGGTAAATGCAAACTTGTTACTAACTTGTTGTATTTTCTCATACAATCTCTCTCTCCTTCTCTCTCTCTCTCTCTGCTCCTCCCCGTGGTTTTTGTCGTCCGGCGACTTAAACTTTTTCTCAAACCATTTGCTTTTGTTTTATTTGTCCGAAATGCAAGTTTACAAGAAAGGAGTCGGTAATAAGATCGTCCCAAACCACTTGCTCCTTATACTAATTTGTACAACAACAATGATTTGCTTGCTTGCAGCACGTGAAAGTCCCACCATAGATATACATCCGCCCGAGCCACAAAGGGTCAATGTCGGCACGGAAGCAATGCTCTACTGCAGTGGTAACGGCTCACCCGAACCGACCGTGCAATGGCGTCGTGTGGATGGCAAACCGCTGTCGTCCCGTTGTGAGATAGTCAGGGAAGGCTATATCATGTAAGTTCACTACACAGTAGCCACCTTGATTCAAAAACATATCACTAACTTTTCTCACCTCCACAGGATACGTAACATACAAGTGGAGGACGATGGTGATTACGAGTGTATCGCTAAAAACGATGTGGGTCGCACAACAGCCGTGCAGGAAATACGCGTGTTGGTGCCACCCTCAATTACGCTCGAGCCCAATGAGGAATATCTCAGTTTAACCGAAGGTGATGAACTGAAGTTGATCTGCAGCGCGAGTGGTGTGCCCAGCCCCATCGTGCAATGGGTTGATGATTCAACGGAATTTAACCGCGAACTCAGCGTGGGCCGACAATTCAATCAGGCCTTCTTGGAGAAGTATCGTGTCGATCGGAATGACGCCAAGATCTACAAGTGTATCGCGAGCAACGAGGCCGGCACGGATGAGAGCTACGTCACCGTGGATGTGCGTCCACGTCGTGGCGATGCACCAGGTAAGATGGCCGTAGAGAGCATAAGCTCAAAGTGTGGCCGTGTATTTGTTGATAATTTGTTTGCTTGTTAATTGCATGTCTTGCGCTGTGCGCCCGTTGGGCCACGCAAGTCTAGCCGACATCTGTCTTTTCACATCTTCAGTTAAACACTATTCGTCTCTTTTCTCACAGTTGACAGCGATGTGATCCGTTACCCTGTAGCCGATACACCACCACCTCAAAATATCTATCGCGCGCGAGAAGGCGATGCCGTCAAACTTACATGCGATCTAAGTAAGTTTCTACTGACCTGAAATGTGTGCTCCGCACTCACATGCACTTTTTGCGTCTCTCTCTTTTCTCTTTCGCAGATCAAGCGCTGCTTACGCGCTGGGAACGCGTCGATGGCGATCCTTTGCCTGAGAACTCATACTTGGACCGCAATAGCTTGATTATTAGTGGCGTCGAGCAGAAAAATATCGGACGTTACCGTTGCAATGCCATCGATAATCTTGGTAATATTGAAACGTTCATTGTTGCTGAGCTCGTCCTGGTGCCGATACCACACATCACCTTCCATCCTCAAATACCGGTTGTGCTGACTGAGAACGATAATATCGATATCTTCTGCGAGGTGTCCGGCGAACAACCCATCGCTGTCACCTGGCATACGACCAACAATCGTCCACTGCCAGAGTAAGTGTGACCTGGTGTTCGCCAAACTGGAGGTTTAACTCCAGCTGTATACCGAGCAACGGAATATCACGCTAACACTCGACATGCTACGAGTTTATCTCGGGTTTCGAGTTTTTTGTCTTTCTAAGACCGTTCTGCTGTTCAGTTTCTCTCTCTTCATCTCAAATTCGCTATACTTATAAGATTCTTTGTTGTTTTCTCTTCACAGTTCCGTACGCATTGAAGGTCCTTACCTGCGCTTCTTCTCCATTACACCCGCCGATGCTGGCCGGTACCTCTGCTCGGCCTCTAATCGCTATGGCAATACAACGAAAACCGCTGAGGTGGTCGTAAATCGTCGCGGCCCCTATTTGCCTACACCACGTGCACAGGTTCATGAAATACGCGAAGGCGATGATGTCACGCTCACCTGCAATGTAGGCGATGGACGTGAGACGATACGCGGTGGCATAAGAGTGAGATCCTTCACATACATCGCTCTATGATCCGACTTCTACTCTCTCTCTCTCTTTCTTCCTCTCTATCTTTCTCTCTCTTACAGTATAATTGGCGTCGTGAAGACCAACGACCTCTACCACCAGGCGCTTTGATACACGATCAACGTCTGATTTTGCGTGGCGTACAGAAACAGGACGAAGGTCGCTATGTGTGCGACTCCTACACAACGGCCGGTTATAGCTCAGCGCCATCTTATGTCGATTTGATTGTCAAGCGTGAGTATAATTCCTCTCTTCCTGATAACTATGGAAGGGAAAGACACAGAAGACGACGTTACAATACTAGGCGTGGTTATTAAATTACGAGAAAACATTTGAGATATTTTAATTAAAAAAACATAATTTTCTTTATATATAAACGAAAGTAGTAGAGGAGTAGCGATATATGAAAAGAAAAGAAAAAAAAGGAAACAAAGATTATATTAAAAGAGAGCGAAGAAAAAAATCGTAAACAAAATGAACAAAGTTAGGCATATTTTTTTTACAAAAAAAAAATTAATTTAAAAAAATTTCAAAAAAAAAAAATTAAAAAAAACGTAAGTGAAAAAATCAAATTAAATTTTTTGCTAACACATTTTAAAGAAAAATAATAATTTTTAACATTTTAGATATTTTTTTTTATTTTATAATTTATTAAAAAAAAAAATTATTAATTAAAAAAATATTAATTTTGAATCGCAATTGGGTATGTCCACGAAATGAAATCCGCTTTCTTTGCCAGATTTCCAAACGCTGATTTTTCTTATTTCGTTAAACGTTTGTTACAAACCCCTCTTTCAATGCAACCCTGTGTTTACACTTGTCAAATATCGCCTTTACAAAATATTTAGTGGTTTTGTGGCAATAACAATAACTACTACACCCCAGAAAAGTAAAATTAAATAAACACATCTCCCCTTAAAACTAACTTTTTCGCTAACTATTTTGTAAAAAAAAATATATATATACATCTTTTATTAGTTAAAACACAAAACTGTAAATTTTCGGAGAAACTAAAAAAAACATTTTTTGTAAATATTATTAACCGCCGTCAAAGGATTTCGCCTAAAATACCCAACCACACAAACAAAATTTTCATGATTTTTGTATATATTTTGTAAAAAAGTACTTTTTTTCTCAAATTTATTACTGTTATTTGGTGGCGGGGAAAAAATTCGCATATATCAAACCTAGACTAAAATCAAGCCCAATTTCATACCCCAAACACAAACCACTAAAAAAAAAAATGAACACCTGACAGCAAACGTCAAACAGCCAAGACATGCACCGCAATGCATTCGTATTCCCTTGCGACTCTTTTTTTTTTTTTTTTGTAGCGAAAAAAGTGTTTTCATTTTAAATATTTAGTTCAAAAAAATCCAAATATGATTGTAAAATCGAAAGCGAAAATTATATATTTTAAAACAACAACAATTGCATGCCAAATACTATATATACATATATATTATAACCAAAAACTGCCCCACAAATGTATCGCACATAACTTAAAAAAAAAAAGAAACCTACAAAATTTGAAAGAAAAATATCAAAATTATCGCAAACCCAAAATCCTCGAATCCACGACTCCTAATGAATTTCCTTCTCTATGTCTCCTAATCCTTTTAATCTATGCTCACACTGTTTCCTTAAAATTAATTTTAAGTCCAAAAAAATGTTTAATTTCTTTCAAAATTCACTTGCAGTTTTTATTGACAAAAGAGTCCACTCTCAGTGTCTCTCTCTCTCTCTTTCCGACTCTCTCTCTCTGTTATACATTTTGTTTATATTTTTTATTATTAAATATAAATATCGTAATAATCTTAAATATCAATGTAAAAAAAAATGCAACAACTACAACAACTGGCTGCCAATGAATATACTAAATAATAATTGTTTATGTATATTTTTGTTAATTAAGTCAAAAAGCTGAATGAAAAAAGAAAACGAAAATACGAATAAATATACAGAATTTATTAACAATTTCACACCTTTTTTGATGAATTTTTATTCTAATTTTCACCCGCAAAACAAATTTTGCGCCACAAGATTTTTTTGTGTCTCCAATTTTTTTTTTTTTTTTTTTTTTGGTTTGCTGGCTTTGTGTGTTTGAGCGAAAATAACAAACAAATTTTATATCAAATTTTTCCTCAAAATTTTGAGTATCTTTATTATTATTATTATCATTTTTGTTATTCACTTCATAATATTTAATATGAAAGTTATTCATTTTGTTCAGCCTTAAATTTTTTGATTTAAAATTTGAAGTTTCGAAATTTTTTATTCAAAATTCAAAATGTTGTTGAAAATGTACAAAAAATTACTTTGCTATTTTCGCTGACGTCACGCCAAATTTTTATTTGCCCACGCTTTTTTTTGTAACTGAGTTTTTCTTTATTTGTTTTTATTTTCTCCCCCCCCAAAACTTTGGTTGTGGAATTTTTCTAAAATTTTTTATTCACTTTTAAAATTCCTGTTCATTTTCGGTGTATTTTTTGTGCTGTTTTCCCTTTGGCGTCACACAACAACAATCCACTCCACTTATCACTTGCATATGTATGTGTTTACCATTATTCTAGACTTCATTTATCATCGTCATTTTCCCCTATGATGTCCTTCAGCCTTTACTATTATATATATATAAATATATATATATATGTATGTATGTTTGTAAATAAATTAATCTTCCATTTTGTTTATATATTTTTTTTTACCGCAAGAAAGCACACACATACACTCAAATATTTTTATTTCAAAGCTCGCAATAAAAGCTCCAAAAAGCTTTCTCCTAGCACATTTTAATTTACAAAAATAATAGCACATATTTTTAAATTATGTCAAAATATATAAATTTTTGTAAAGCTCACAATAAAAGCTCCATAAAGCTTCAACAAAAGAAATATGCTATTTTTGATAGCAAAAAGCTTTACAAAGCAGATATTTTAAATTTGTATATTAGTTTAAAACTATGTTTGATTAAAAACGCAAAAAAAAATTCATATCATATTTCATTATATTTAACTTAAAGCACATAAAAGCTCCAAAAGTTCTTTCAAATATGAAATTTTACTTTTAAAGTATGTGAATATGCTTTAGAAATTTGAGTTTTTAAAAAGCACACTGCACGTTTTACCATATAAAATCTGCATAGCAACGTTACCAATATGTCTAAATATTTTGAGCAAAAGCTTTAGAAAATTTTTTGTTTGAAAAGCACTGTCAACTGAACTACTTTCTTCAAACAACTCCATAAATTAATTAAATAACTAAAAATTAAATTTATTAGGAAAGCTTTTTAAAACTCGTGATCTATTAAAGTTTTTTTGCGAATATATTTTAATATTTACGAGCTTTAATATTTTTAAGTTCTTGAAAATCTGCAGCTTTGAGCTTTTGACGGCTAACTTTTGCAGTTTCAGGCTTTTCAAAGTACTAAGGAATTTAAAGTCTCGAGCATTTTGAAAGTTTGCGGCTTTTAATGTCACAGTTTGAAGCTTTTTATAGCTTTTTAAAGCTCTCCGCGAACACACATTACACAACTGAAGCTCATCTTACACATATTCTTGCACACACACCATTCTCTCACTCTCTCTTTCGCTCATTTATTTTCTGTCTCTAGCTCTCTCCCACTCTCTCTCTCCCTCTTTCTCTCTATTAAACACACACACATTTTCTATCTCAAAGCTTAATGTAAATATTTTTTTTGTGATCTACATAAGTGTTTTTAGAAAATTCATTGTATCATATATGTATGTATGTATGTATTGTATGTATAAAAGCCTCATTAGTTCTCCGTTTAAATGTATGTATGTGTATATTAAAACCATTTGTAGTATAACTTATGTTTTAAATAATATTTTTAAAATTTGATATATGTATTATATGTAAACATGTCCACAATAGATAATAATGATTTATTTAAATATGTATGTAAGTATGTGTAAGAACAGCTTAAAACTATAAATTAATCAAACCATCATTTGTAAGTCATAACCGTCAATAGAAAATTTCTGTGTATCCGTAGTCGAAGCTCAAACGTATTGCGGCAAGTGAAAGCTTTTGCTGAAAGCTCACTATAAGTGAGAGTTGAAGCATAAGTAACGCTTTCACACACACTTATGTGAGATTTGCGTGAAAGCTTCACGCCACTTATGCATACTTGAGTGAGAGAAAAGTTATCGTCTGATTTTGGTGTGAGCTTTCACTGCAAAAAAAAACACAATTTTTACACCTTGTACATAAGTATTGTTACGCCTACACACATACGAAATGACATATGCCATTAAGCACTTAACCTCAAATTAGTTATAGATAGCTGCGTACCCGAGTTTTGTGGTTATCTGGGTTAATATGCGTCGAATCTCCATGGAGCCGGACACCATTAGCGCACACTGTGTTAACCGTTAGTGTACACAAAGCACCAATCACCTACATATATACTACATGCATATAAATCCACATTCACTCTCCCTCTCACATATTTTTTCTCCTTGTCGCTCTCACTCTCTCTATCTCTCTACCTTTCACTGACTTAATGTATATTTCTATAAATAAAATATCTTGTATATGTATTTTATATATTTCCATTTCTATCTATCACTAGTGGCACTCTTGTGCTCACCCTCTCACTGTATATGTTTATATGTATTCTATGTGTTCTCCCTCGGTCTCGTGTACTCTGTGTTGTAGGTGTCGTAGTTTTGTAATAAGATAAATCAGTTAGCTGAATGGAAAAAAGAAAAACAAAAATTATAAGAAAACATTCGGAGAAAAGTCAAAATTTTTATAAACAAAACTTAAAAAAAAAAATAAAAATAAAAACAAAAATTTTGAAGATTTTTATAATAAATAAGAAAATTTAAAAGAAAATATTGTAGCGAAAAAGTAAAAGCTTTGATAGAAATTTTATTTAAATATATTTATTTTAATTATTATAAATTTTTTCTTTTTTTTTTTAATTCATGGATTTTAAACTTTTTAACATTTTTTTCTATTGATTTTTGTAAAAAGTATAAAATCAAATTTTGAAAACAAAAAAAAATATTTTTTCTGCTTATATTAAATGCTGCTTATTTTTATTTTTCTCTTTCTTTCTCTCTCTCTCTCTCATTTTTCTCTGACTACAACTCACTATCTGCTACACTTGAAAAAAAAATTAAAAATTAAAAATAAATTCAATGAAACTAAAACAACATAAAAAATTAAAAAATCAAATCACCAAAACATAAATTGCGAAAGGCGCCACACTGAAAAAAAAAACATAAACAAAAAAAAATATACAACGCTACATTTTCACACACCAACAAACTAAACACTTACATCAACACGCAAAAATATCAACAAACACAACATCGCTCGCCTCATCGCCGAACATACATCTACATCTACGAATATATATTAAAAAAAAATCTCATAAATCCACTGAATATTCAAATGAAAAACGAAAACATATAAACACGAACGAACTACTTCGTACAACCGAACGTTGCCCGATATGCATACATACATACATACACTAACTCATTCATATGGTACACGCTCGTTCGTTCCTCCGTTCGTTCGTTCGTTCACCCGTTCACACGGCTGCACCATCGTCGGCTCTCATCGTTGGCTCGCTGTATACTATTTACAGGAGGTTACAGCATAAGTGAGGTCCCTTGCGTCGTTTTCTATATCTGTACAGGTGTGTTTAATAAAAATTCAAATCGAAAACTTTACTTAATTAGACAGTGATTGTTGAACCTATGGCTAGTGGATGTGCTCGTTCGTGTACCCGAAAAGTACTCGTATGTAGTAGTTGTAAAAATAGCAAAATCAAAAAACAAAAAAAAAAAATACTAGAGGCTTTTTTCCAACAAAAAGTCGTTTGTGTGTGTGTCTCACTTTTAAGCATTTCTGAAAAATATTGTAAAAAACAAAAAATTAGAAAAAGAAATTTAAAGAAAATTAGAAAAATATTTAGACTAATTTAGCACAATTTGTAGTTAGACTAATAGTCGATTTCGAACAAAAACTAAACAAAAAGTAGAAAAATTTCAAAAGAAATGTAAATAATTTGCCTCGAAGTATTCAATACAACCATAACGGTACTCAAATCAACCCTGCCATGCATTCCTGTGTAATATACAAATTCCTATATTTAAAAAAAAATTCCTGTAGTTAGAAAATGTACGATATACTAAAAAAAATATGTAGATTTCTTTGATTTTGAAAAATTTAAATTTTCAAAAAATTAAAAATTTTGAGTAAATAAATATTTTGAAAAAAAAAAATTTAATTTTAAAGAAATTAAAAGTTTTGAAAAAAATTAAAAATTTTGAAGAAATTAAAAGTTTTTAAAAACTAAAAATTAAAAAGAAATTAAAAAAAAATTAAAAATTTTAAACAATTTAAAAATTTTGAGGAAATATGAAATTTTGTGAAAATTTAAAATTTTGAAAAAGATAAGCAAAATTTTTTTTTTTTCAAAACCTATTCCGTAATCATAGTAAAATATTTGTTTTCAGCAAAAATTTGTTAAAAGTATTGATATTGAATTTGTAACATTCCTATTGTAAAAAAAATTATAAAACGTTAATTAAACGATCTCTTTCAAAAAGTTTTGAAAACACCATTCTTCTTCAATGTAACAACAACACATTTAAAACTAAGATGACCGACAAAAATACATAAATTAATAGTAACTTCTACCAAAACAGTTTAAAAAAGACGAGGTCGGTTTGATAAGTCAGTAATTTGATTTTATTAAATAAAAAAATTATATCAAATTAAAATGAAAAACGATAATTTAAATAAAATTAAAAATTCTCTTAAATGAAATAAAATAAATTCAATAAAATATAAAATAAAAGTTTAAGGGTAAATTAAATAAAATTAAATTAAATTTTAAATATATAATTGGCGCTATGTAACCGCTAAAATGATTTTTCGGCCGAATATAAATAAATATATATAATATATTATAAATAGATTTAAATGAAATAAAATAAAATAATATTAAAAATAAAAATAAATATAATGCATTCAAATAAAGGAAACCAAAAAAATAATAATAATAATAATTAAAAATAAAAATAAATTAAATAAAAATTAAATAAAAAATTAAATTAATTAAATAAAGAATTATTTTAAAATATAAATTAAATTAAATATAAAAAAATTAATAAAATCATTAAAAGTTAAAAAAATTTAATGAAAATAAATAAAGTAAAATAAATTTAATTCAATTAAATTAACTACCCAGCAAATATCAGCCAACGTTTGGGAATACACCGCGTATAATAACCATCAAATATAACTTTCTAGTAGCGCTCGGACCCCCCTATTTCTTACAAACAGTACTGGCTCGAAAAGTCAATTCACATGCTTCGTTTCTTTCATAGAATCCTAAATATTTTTAAAGCTTTTCGTAAAGATTACCAAAGCTTTTTAAGGGCATGAAACCAAAAATAAAAAAGCTCAGCATTGTTGCCAGTTTTCTCTTTGATTGTAACAAAATCTTAAAATTTTAAAAATCTATGCCAACTTAATCGCTATACTTTGTAAAAAATTCAGTAGCTCGCACTTGCCAAAAACTATAGCATTTTAAATAACATTGCACATCTAATGGGGTTACTAGTTTCTCCTTGAATGAGTAAAGAAAACAGAATTTTCGTCCCACGTTGCCAATTACCGTCACCAAACCCTATGCTCATTTTAAAGCCAGTAGCTTGTTCAAAACTTATTAACTTGCACTAAGAGTGTCATATCTGAGCTTAGACTAGAAAAAACAACAAAAGTACCGACTTATCAAACCTCTCTGGTGTATAAAAAAAAATTTTGATAATTTTGCTTAAACTACTGTAAAAACCACCTTAAGGCGTCACATAACCACAAATTGCAAATGTTTTTTCTTTGCATTTATACATTTTATTGTAGTTGTAGTTGTAGTTGCAGTTGTAGTACTTGCCGTAGCAGAATTTCCGTATCATTATTGTATTTAATTTTAATTACTTTTCATACATTTTCTGCATTTCGATCATACTTTCCTAATGAAACTCTTTTATTTTCATATTTTCTCATTTCCACCCACTCAACCCAATACGTTCTCACTGTTTGACCCTCAACGCGTTCGTGTGTCGTTCATCGTTCATCCAACTGTCGTTCGTTTGAGCTGCATTATTAAATTTTCATCATTTACTACGTCTCCTTGCGACACTGCGAACTATCTCTCTCTCTTACTCTTCTCCTCCTCTCAACCGCGTGCGCTCCCCATACCAAACGAAAAAAGACTTCAAAACCACCAAAGCGGTGGTGTCCAAGCCGCCTACGCGTCTCTCCTACGCCTGCCAACCGACCGACTTTAAGTGCGTCTCGCATCCGCATACCTGTATTAAAGCCGCAATGGTCTGTGACGGCATACACGATTGCACCGATCACTCGGACGAGTTCAATTGTACGACGCCACAATCGTCAACAACACTTCAACTGCCGTTGCTTGGCAGCTCATTAGCCGTGTCGGCGGGTGTGACACCAACTGCAACACCTCTGCCGCCGCCGCCGCCTCTAACTAAGCCCTCGCTGACGTCGCACAAAAAGTCACCGCCAACCCCACCATCGACGCCAACACAGAAGCCGAGCTATAAGCGCTGGAAGAAGCGGCACAGCAGTCACAAGGAGCGACGCAATAATCACGCGCACACACACAAACACAAACAGCGGCTGCGTGTGAAGAAGCGACGCCATTTGCTACAGACGCCGACGACCGTTTTCCACCCATTCGGTTTGTTTTGATTTTCTTAATTTGTTGCGCACCTTAAATAGGACTTTTTTCGTTTTTCTTTTGGTACACGCACACGCACTCAATTTGTTACTGTTTGTTTTTGGGAATTTTTTCAGCTTTTAAGTTGCCACACTTTTGTAAAATTTTTTGTTAATTTTTCAATCTTTTTTTTTTAATTTACGATTTTTGTTTTTCACACTCAGTAATGGTAAATATAACGGTAGTTTGTCGAATGGTAAAAATGAAAAATTTTCAACATATACACAAAAAGTAGTAAAATTAGTTTTGTAGCAGGTGGCACTCTTGTCGGTATAAAAAAAAATTCAAAAAGGAGAGGAAGTCACCGCTGAGGGCACAGGCTCAAATAGAAGGTGTATGTTGTAAGTAGTTACACTTTAGCTTCAAAACACAATGAAAAATATTCAACAGTAGATTGAAGCACAGCACGCTCACCCAAACCAGACCTCAGACCTCAGACCTCAATCACATTAATATTATATAACTAATATTAAAAGTGCATAAAGTAGGCCTCATTTTAAATATTTTTAAGCTTCAATAAGTCTAAGAGTCCTAAAATTAAAACGATTTTTGTTTAATTCAATCGAGTTCACGTCTAATTTTATATATACATTTATTAACGTTTTTATAGACACCTGAAAGCAGACTTCGAAAAAAGAAAGTTTGGCTTAGAGCAGTCTGCCTCTTTTGAATAGCCATTGGTTGAACTGTTTTTATTTGAATTTAATTTCTTAATTTATGTGATTTTATTTGTTACATGTTATTTAATTTAATTATGTTTTATTTAATTTAAATTCGTTCTTTTTTATTACTTTAATTTAATTTTTTTTTTTTCTAATTTTTATATTGTTTAAACTATTTTACTTTTACCTAAAATAAATTATATAATTTAGTTTAATTTAAATTAATTTAATTTTTTAATTTGTTTTGATAACATATATTTTATTAGATTTAATTACATCTCTTTAATTTCCTTTTACTTGATATTATTTTATTTTACTTTATTTTATTTTATTTTATTTTATTTTAATTTATTTTATTTTACTTTATTTTATTTTATGTTTAATTCATTTTATTTTATATTATTTATTTATTAATTTTTTTTTATTTTATTAATGACAATCCAGTTGTTGAAAAAATCTCTCCTAAAAGTATGCTTTTACTAATAATTCCATATAAAGCAGGATATATTGCTGCATGTAGGGCTTGAGTTCGAAATAGAAAAAAGGAATTAAAAAGTATAAAAATAAATCAGCTGGCGCGTTATTTGCATATTTCTCAGCGTATATCTTCTTGATCTTCTTCAACACTTCCCCTTTTTTGCTACTCCCACCCTTTATTTGCAAGTACTTTCCCGATTTCAAAAGAAATATTCCCTCTATGAAATGTAAATATTTTTTTCTATCATCACGTGTGAATGTATGTAAATATTATTTGCTTATAGACTTAAGTTTCCAGATGCAACCGTTAAAAAATTACCAATAAGTTGTAAGTATAAACAAGATTATTCACAGTAAGCCATTGCCGGCGCGAGGGCTGTAATTGCGAGAGAGGTGCAAAAAAAATATTTTGAATGAAAAAAAATTCAAAATAAAGCCAATAAATTATGAATCAAGTTAACAATATTTAAAAAAAAAATGAAATTATGTATTTTTTTAGTTTCAAAATTATAAAAAAAAATAAAAATTTAAAATATATTAAAAAAAAATTTTATTTTAAAAGTTATTTTCAATGTATTCAAAAAGTCAAATTAAATTTATTTCTAAATCTTAAATTGTCTTAATTAAAACTTATTTTTTCAAACGAAAAAATATATATTTTTAACTTTTGTTTAGTTTTTGAAATATTTAAAAAATAATTATAAATTCAAAAAAAAATTAAAATTAATTTATGTAAAAAAATAATACATTTATATAAGAATATTATTCTTATTTTTAAATTAAAATATATTTAATTTTTTTATTTAAAAATTTATACATTTTAAAAACTTTTACTTTTTGAATTCAGAAATAGTTCTAATATTTTTTACTGCCCCCCTCGCAGGCTCAAGCCATGCCAGCCGGATGCAGTAATGAATTATATGAAATAAACATTTACATACATGTATGTATGTATGTATAAGTGTAGCTAAAATCATAAGTTTACCAATATGTAGAAATGTATGTATGTATTGATTGTAGTTGTAGTTTTTGTATTTGTTTATGTCTTTATAAAAATATGCAGTATTTAGTTTATTTTATATTCATATAAATGTATATTAGTGTATGTTAGTGTAGGTAGTTTGTATGTATGTATGTTTGATTATAGACTCAACAACGCACGGCTCACATACATACATATGCATACGTTTCACACACATGACTATACGCACACATAAGTACATATATTATAAAAGCATGACTTCTTAGCGATTTACCTTCATATTTTGCTTTACATAAATGCATCCATATGTGTGTACATATAAGCATGCTCATACTCACCTTTACATACAAATGATTTTTTTTTTAATTTCTATGACCTTTTAAAAATCAATGAATTGAATTATATATTTTCCTGATTATTTAATAATTTGTTACTTTTTACTATGTTTCACTTTTGTACTTTTTCCAAAATTTTATTAAACTTTCAAAACTATTATTGTTGTTGATTAATAAATTGTTGTCGTGTTTAATTTTGTGATATTTAAAATATTAAAAAAAAATATTTTTTTTGAGCTCACAAATATTTCCAAAAACTTTAGTTATCATAACAGTTAGAAGATTTTTATTATTTTCTCTTATTTTCCTCCAAATTCTTTTAATTTTCGTGCAAGGTTTTGAGCTTTAAACATTTTTCAAATTTTCTTAATTTTTTCAGTTCAATAATTTTTTTTATTTTTTAATCAAATTTTATTTTTCAATTTAATTCGAAAAAAAGTTTAACATTTTTACTCATTTTCTTTTGTTGTTAATTATTTTAGTATCTTTTTTATTTGTTATCCTATTTTATTTTACCCTTAATTAATATGCATTGGTATTTCAACTGTTTTTGAGTTGTATTTGTAGTGCGCAGAATAATCGACTTACTGTTGTTTTTATTGTTTTTGTTGCTTTTGTTGTTTTGTTACATCCATTTCATATTCTGAGTATTTGATGCGCCCCAAAATTGCGTCCGAAAATTTCTTCACCCAAAAACAAAAGAAATTCAAAATAAAAAAAGAAAATCCACCACTCGACTCACCTCGTCAACACTCATTTGTAAACTTACTTAGAAATTTATGTAGAGTTTTTAATTAGTAGACGAAAATTGAAATGTTAAATTAATGTTTTTGTAAACAAACAAACAAACAAAAAAAAAGAATTTTTCTTTTCCAAATTTTGCTAATTTTTATATTTTCTCTACTTCTTCTCCTCCCGCCACCACCCACATATGTAATCCATTCATCCACTTCCTTCAAAACTCCACCAATGCCATCAACTCATGATGCTAATCGATTAATCGACTCGCTCTCGACTACTGTCTCTGTCGTCATCCATGTCGTTGCTACTTTGTGTGTGTGTGTGTGTTCGTTTCAAAATGCGAAAAATGCAAAACTTGAAAACAACTCAAAAATACACGAAAACGAAAAATTGGCCAACCAAAACTTAAAAATTTTGAAAAATTCGAAAAATTCAAAAAAAAAAATTATCGTCATCACAAATGTTATCGATAATTAAATGTATAACAACACATCGCCAATCGTCCATCGCCACAACATATCGACTCATTTTGTAACTTATATTTTCGAATATCAACTAATAAACAATACGCCCAAAAACAAAAAAATTAAATACTTGAAAAATAATTAATTTAAACAAAAAATCGGCAAATGTGCATATATTATGTTTGCTACTGCATTTATGGCCTTTTCTGCTTACATTTCCAATCGTTTCTAATGTGCACAAAAACTTCGTTGAACTTCGTTTGCATTCGTTGGCCTTCGTTTGCATTCGTTTCGCTTCGCATTGCAAACTCTTGGTGCATAAATTGTTGAATTGTGCAAAAATTCTCGTTATTTCCGATTCCATTACTTAAATATCGATCATTTAAAAATCGATATCTTTCAATATCGATAACTTCCACTATCGATAACACATATCGATTTTCAATATACGCTACGCACACATTCAAACACACTAGCAGCAGCGGCAATACCACTACCACGTTTGCCCGTCGTACCGCAAACATTACCGGAGCTCCCCACCCTACCACCACCACCAGCACAAACCCGGCAACGTGAGCTGAGCCTTAAACTGGACCAACAATCGTCGCAACTGCGCGTCGGCGAATCAACAGAGGTCGAGTGTTACTCATCGGACAGTAGCTACACGGATGTCGTCTGGGAACGGGCCGATGGCACGCCTCTGCCACCACATATACAGGTGAGTCGGGTTGAAGGCGGCGAACCTTGCTCACGTTTTCTATTTTTTAATGCGCTTTCTTCTTTCCTTAGCAAATCGGCAATCGTCTGATCATCTCACACGTTTCCGCTTCCGACGCTGGCAACTACGTCTGCAAGTGCAAGACCGATGTGGGTGAATTGTACACGACCAGCTATGAGTTGGGCATTGAGGAGTGGCCGCACGAGTGGAAGCGTCCGAAGTTGGTGCATGCCGACGTTGGATCCTCCGCGAAGCTTAACTGCGACGCTGAAATACCTGGCAGCTATCGTTGGTCTCGCCAATACGGGCAAATGCAAGCCGAGCGCGAGCTATTCAATGTAAGTACAGTCAAGAGCTGAACTCATTTCTATTTCTACTACTTTCCCTAACCAACTTTTTTGATCTTTCGCCTCCAGGAGCAACTCGAACTACACAATGTGCAAGCAAACGACGCCGGCACTTACATTTGCACGTCCAGCACACCGGATGGCCAGTCCATCGACTATCCGACTATACTAGTTGTCACCGGCGCTATACCGCAATTCCATCAGGAACCGATTAGCTACATGTCTTTCCCTACGCTACCCGAATCGGTACTTAAGTTCAACTTTGACATTACATTCCGACCCGAGCAGGGCAATGGTCTCTTGCTCTTCAACGGTCAGAAGCGTGGGAGTGGTGACTATATCTCGCTCTCGCTGAATGACCGTTATCCCGAATTCCGTTTTGACTTCGATGGTAAACCAATGATTGTACGCGCCGAACGTCCGGTTTCGCTCAACGAGTGGCACACCGTACGCGTGAACCGCTTCCGACGCGATGGCTACATGCAGGTGGATGAACAACATCCCGTCGCCTTCCCCACACTAGCGCAAGTTTCACTCTTGGACTTGATTGAAGACTTGTATATTGGCGGTGTACCGAACTGGGAAATGTTGCCACATGATGCTATTGATGAACAAGTCGGCTTTGTGGGTTGCATTAGCCGCCTCACTCTCCAGGGTACCATTGTTGAGTTGATGAAAGAGGCCAAGTTGAAGGAAGGCATCACTGCCTGCCGTCCGTGTCAAAAGAACCCATGCGAGAATGGCGGCATCTGTCTCGAAAGTCAAACGGAGATGGCCTACACATGCATCTGTCAACAAGGTTGGACCGGGCATAACTGTGGCGTCGAAGGCACACAGTGCACACCCGGCATTTGCGGTAGTGGACGCTGCGAGAACACTGAGATGGGCATGGAATGCCTCTGCCCCTTGAACAAGACCGGCGATCGCTGTCAGTACATCGAGCATTTGAATGAGAACAGCTTGGCGTTCAAGCTCAATAGCTATGCTGCCTACCCGTAAGTCAACTTTGAAGCTCTCTCTCTCTCTCTTTCTCTCTCACACACTCGTTTATCCTTGCTCTGCATAGCACACCACGCGCCTCCAAATTGAATGTGAAGTTCAAGGTACGACCCAACTCGCTGCAGGATGCCATCCTACTCTACGCAGCCGAATCGAAGCTGCCCAGCGGCGACTTTATTGCCGTGCTGCTGCATGATAAACACGTCGAGCTCGTCATCAATACCGGCGCACGGCTGAACCCGGTGTTGGTGCGTTCACAGAACCCACTGCCCGTGAACAAGTGGACTGAAATTGAGGTGTCGCGTCGTTTTGGCGAGGGCATCTTACGCGTAGGCAATGAGCCGGAGCAACGTGCTAAGTCTACGAAATCTGCGCGTATGCTGTATCTAAAGACGCCACTCTACGTCGGCGGCTTTGATCATGAGAACATCAAACTCAATCGGGACGTAAATGTCACGCGCGGCTTCGATGGCTGCATCTCGGGCGTAAGTGAAGAACACAAATATTGAAATTTCTATGCCAAATCCGCCACTTACTGTTTTATTCCATTCACAGCTGTTTGAAGGTCAACGCCAAATTCACCTCATCGCCGACATCCAAGATGCGGCGAACATACAAAACTGTGGTGAGATCAACGAGATCGATCAGAATGAGACCTTCGACAACTACGAGCACGAAGCCAACAAACCGCAACCGGCAACGGGCTCACAACCTGAAGTGCAAATGGAAAAGGCGCACCAACAAATGGACGCCTGCGCCAGTGATCCCTGTGAAAATGGTGGTAGCTGCAGCTTGCTTGAAGGCATGGCCATTTGCGAATGTCCTTTCGGCTTCGCGGGCAAGCACTGCGAAGAACGTGAGTGGCGTCTTGATTCGAATACAATTAACTGACCGCACACTAACCGCCCTCCTTCCTCTCCTCTATCTTCCACAGACATTACCTTCGAATACGACGCGAACTTCCATGGCAACGGCTACCTCGAGGTGAACCGTGACCAATTCAACACTGAAATCGAACAAAAATACTCATTCGCCGCTTTGGTCTTCTCCACAACCGATCCCAATGGACTGTTGCTGTGGTGGGGCCAGAAGAAAAATGAGGAATACACCGGTCAGGACTTCATGGCATTAGCCATTGTCGATGGTACCGTTGAATTCTCATTCCGTCTCAATGGCGAGGAGACCGTCATACGTAATCCCGACAAACGTATCGATGATGGCAGTCGCCACATTGTACTGATCAAACGTACCGACAACACTGCCATACTAGAGTTGGATCACCTCCTGGACGCGGGTGAGACACGCCCAACGGGCAAGGATAAAATGAGTCTGCCGGGTCATGTGTTCATTGGTGAGTAGCCGCCGACATACTCAGGGTTTGATGTGTGTTTACTATACAACATTCTCTTCTCTTCTCTCTTCTCCATGATTGCAGGTGGTGCGCCAGATGTTGCCAAATTCACTGGCGGTCGCTACAACAAGAACTTCAACGGTTGCGTGCGTGTCGTTGAAGGCGATGCGCGTGGCATCATACAGTTGGGCACAGCAGTCGTTAGTGGCCAAAATGTGGATACGTGTCCGCAGTAAGTAGAGACGCTTTTAAGTAATTGCGTTCGAAGCTCAGTCTATAAGTCTTTATGCTAAGTTAAGTGTACCATACTGTAAGTTTAGTAATTTTTATGCCCGTCCAACACATGCTGCTCCTCCACTGTAACCTCTGTCACACGTTGGCATTGTAGCAGTTGGCATCCATCGAGTTTAGTTTACCACGAGCTCGACTCCACGGACTTTCGTTTCGATCCGTCACTCTTCGACGAGTTCGATCAGCCGCCGCCGGTACATATACTCTATCCGCGTCCCACCGTTAATCCGCAGCATCGCAATGGAGCGCCAAATATCGGCTCCAAGGCAACAAGCTTGTTGACGACGTGCCTGGCTGAGCGCCGGTCATCTATTCTAACTTGCTATTATCCTTCGCTGGCGCTGACGGTGGCGGCGTCTCTGCTAGCAACAGCGTATCTACACTCATGTGCAAAAAATATGTTGTCGAGGCAGTGTTTGTTGGCGGAGCGACGGCGTCTACGGCAATATAGCGGGAAATAACGGTTTTTATGAAATTCAGCTGCTCTTACTTGAAGTAATAACACAACAGTATAACAGTATATATAACAGTATGAAAGTAACTAATATAAAAATAATCAACATAAAATCGCCAAAAGTTAACTATGCAAATTTTTCAGTTCACTTGAATTTCAAATTCCTCCCGCTAAGAACAAATAGTAGTAGAAAAAGTAGTAGAAAAAGTAGTAGAAAAAACTTTTTTTTTGTGATTATAAGCCGAATTTTATGTAATTCTTTAAAGTAGTATGAAAAGATTTGGGCTATGAAAAATAGTAGTAGAAAAAGTAGTAGAAAAAGTTCTTTTTTTACTATTGGGCTATGAAAAATAGTAGTAGAAAAAGTAGTAGAAAAAGTACTTTTTTTTACTATTAAAAACTTTTCTAAAAAGATGTTACACTATATTAAAACTATAAAAAAACAATAGTAGAAAATATCATATACCAAAACGCTGCGTCTTTGTGTATAAAATAATTTGAATGTTTTATATAAAAGAGTCTGAATTGGTTTTAAAAAAATAAGAAAATAGTAGTCAAGAGAGTAGTAGTTGTCAATACTACACGAAATACTTGAACATTTCTATTTAGGAGAGTCTAAAAAGTTTTTAAACTATTAAATAATACTACCAACGAAGGTAGTAGAATTAAAACATTTTTTTTTTTATTACAAAATTACTAGAGAATGTTATTTTAAAAAAGTCTGAAATGTTTTTAAACTATTACTACTACTACTGCTTTAATGTTCACAAAATTATTTGAAAAAAACAGCAGATATGAATACTACTACTTGTTTAAAAGAATTGTAGGAGAAAAATATTTTTTTGTTCCTAAAATTAATTGAGCTATTTTTTAGAAGAATCAGAAATGTTTTTAAAATACTCAATGGCAGTATCAGTTATAGAAACATATATAAATACTACTTTTAGTTTACAAAAGTACTTTTTTTTCGAAGAGTCTGAAATGTTTTAAACTATTACAAAGTAGTAGAGGAAATACTTTTTTTTTTGTTCAAAAAAATCATTGAATATTTCTCTCGAAGAGTCTGAAATGTTTTTAAGGTATCTTAAAAGAGTAGTAAAAAAGTAGTAGATAAAATAGTAGCAAAAATACTGCTTTTTTGTGCACAAAATTATTTGCAATCTTTTTTCAGAAGATGCTGACATGATTTTAAATTATTAAAAAAAGTACTCGAAAAAGTAGTAGAAAAAATACTACTATCTATTTGCACACAAACCTATTCGCAAATTATATTTAAAAGAGTCTGAAGTAATTTAAAAATTAATTTTGCAATCAACTACATAAAAATATGCAAAAAATACTACGTTTTTATTGAGAATTTGTGCCTAAATAGGGATTATGGTTCGGGGCTTGCTAGCGAAACGTGTTAATTTTCTTGTTTGAAAATCATTACGTATAAATAAATAGTAAATTTAAGCGCTTGCCTAAAAATACACTTAATATTTGTTAAAAAAGAATTAAATAAAAAGTAATAAATAATATTGAAAAAGTAGTATAACTCAGCGGTTATGAAAAGTGTGCAGCAAAAGGCTTGCGTTGTTAGTTATTGTAGTTAGGTTCAATTTCAAATGTGTTGAAATACAAAATTCATTTGTATATACTCATACACAAAAGCATACATACTATTACATACATACATAGCTAAATATAATAATTAATTATAAATTAAAAAATTAATAAAAATATATACTATTAACGAAGTTGTAATGTTATTAATGGAAAAACAAGTGTGCTAAAGGTTTCTATGGGCGAAGCGTATACGCGTATATATATTAAAATAAATAAAATATATGAATTAATATATTATATTATATATACATATAGTTAAAATGTAGGCTGGTTGTTGAATGTATATAAAAATATTAAAATTAAAATTAAAATAAATAATAATTGTAATGATGTACTCTTCCTTTTCTTGTTCAATGAAAAGTACTATTTTAAAATTTATTTAAACCGCTAGAGCACCTAGGAAATATCTAAAAATAATTTTTTAAATTTTTTAAAGTTGAAATATTTTTTCTTAAAACAAAATACGTTGTATGTGTGGTCCTTTCCTACTATTATCATATCAAAAATATTTTAGTCTATAACAATATTACTTACATGTGTGTATATTACCAAATAAAAACTAGTCAATTATACATATATATCTAGCATAAAAATAGTATTATCAAAAACTTGTCATGAAAATTAGAATTGAAAAAAAAAAAAAATTTGCTCAAATTTATTTAAAAATGCGTAAAATATTTAAGCTAAAGACGGCTGCTTTTTGAGATGCAAGCAGGAAGCTTTCGAGCTTTTAAGCGCTTAACTACAAAGGGAAAAAGCTTGATGAGTGTGTACACAAATATAATATAAAAATATACCATAAATATATATAAAAAAGATATGGAAATCTTATTGTACTAATGCTTTGTTATTATTATTAAATAAATATGTATATAAGTACGCATAAGTGAGCTACTCATATCAATAAGAGTTATACTTTAAGAAGAATGAGTTACCAGGCACTCGAAAAAGATAAAAAAAATTTCAAAAAAAAAAATTTATTAATTATTTAATAATTATTTCATAATAATTTAATGATTTATTTTAAGCTTTAAAAGCAGTTCTCAGTTCTAAAATACTTTTAATTACTTTGAAAAGCTTCTAAAAATAAATATTTAGAGCTTTAAGCTTTGTTTCAAGCTTTTAATGTAAAAATGGAAATCTTAAAAAAAAAATTTTAAAAAAATATGTTAACAATAAATGAGTAAGAAACAAATCATAAATCAAAGAAAATATTAAAAAAAAATATAAAAAATAATATTAATAATAATAAACAAATAAAGAGTAAATAAATGCTTAAGAAAATTAATATTCAGTTAAGCAAAGTTATAAATTACGAATTGAGTGAATTAAAAATTTATAAATCTTTTCGTGAGTTATGGAAAAAAAATTAACTATAAATAATAAAAATAAAAGAAAAGATTTTTTTAGACCATAATTTTTAGTTCAAATTTAAATTTAAAATTGAAATGTAGGAATGATTAAAAAATGTATGTCTGTATGTATTTAAGAAATTATTATTTAACGATCTTTTTTAATTGGAATTGATTTGACCAAATTTTTGGCGCCAAAATTAATTTAAAATTATTTGAAAATATTTATTTTAAGTTTTCATCTATTTAATAAGTAATTATTTTATTAATTTAATTAAAAAAATTTTAATTAATAATACTTTCATTTTAAATTTCTATATTTTTATAAATATTTTAAATTTTATTTACAAAATTCCTCAAATTTTTTACTAATTTTCTTTTTTTTAACTTTTTCTTTTATTTTCATATATTATTTACCACACGCGCACACACAGAGCCGACGACGTACCGATTGGCACCGAACCACCAGTCGTTTGAACATAGCTTTTATATACGTATATAATATATAATTAACGCATATATATATATGTATTTATATATATATATATTATTTTACTTTTTTATATAAATACAAATTCTGCTTAAGTTACAACACAAAAAACACAAAAAAACACACCACCAAAACAAATTGATGTAAGAAGAAGAAGTTGAAGAATGAGAAGAACAAGAACGAACGAATGAAAACGCAGTCGTAAGATGAAAGATAAACAATAAAAATCGATCTACTGCGTTTTTACAACATACATACACACACACACGTTTTGTAATAAAAAAAAACTACAACAACAACAACTTAGCTTAAGCGCACTAACAATAATAACAATTAAATAATAACAAAAATTTAATTTTAATGAAATAATGTGTCATATATTTTGCAATAATTACAATTATTTATGTAAGTTTATATAATTTTTTTTTATTTTTTTTTTTTTTGACGAAAATAAAAAAGGAAAAAAGAAAAATTCCAGTTACCAAAAAGCTTCGAATAAGTTTTGAAAAAAAAATTTGACTTTTCAATTACAAATTAAGAATATAAACATAAAATAAAATTTAAAATATCTATATGAAATCTAAAAAAACTATAGTAACCTCAATTAAGTCACCCAGTTTGTTAAAAAAAAATGAGAATTCGAATTTAAATTAATTTTTTTTTGACATTTAATTTTTTTAATTTTTTTTTTTAAATAATAACATTTGAAACCTAAATTGAGAAATGTAAACAAAATAAAAGTGTAAATTAGAAAAAAAAATTAAATTAATTATAAAAATAAAAAATAATAAAAAATAAAATACAAAAAAGAAGGAATTAAGCGAATCCAACGCCAGTTTAATATTAACAAATACAACTACTAACACAATGCATTAATATGAAAACCATTTCCATGTAAGAATACATTTTTTTCTACTTATATTTGTATGTAAATTGAGAAAATAAAAATTAAACAACAAAAAAAAAAAGAAATATTATTGTAATGTATGGCAAAAATAATTGTAAAAAGCGTTAATAAGTGAAGAAATAAATAAATAAATTATTAATATTTAAATATTAATAATAAAAAATATTATTATTATTAATATAAAAATGGACGACTAAAAATAAACGAGAAAAGTGTTGAAAAAAAAAAACAAAACAAAAAAAGTTTCATTTAAAATTTTGTAGAAAAGTGTTTTCATCACACTTTATAAATAATTTATGACAGATTTATAAACTATATATTTTTTTTTTTAAATTTAATGTTCAAAAAATATAATTATTCAAAGTAAATATTAATATATATATATATTATATATAGATATATATATGACATATAATAAGCGCTGAAGCGATTTTCGGCCGAGCTCCTCCCCCAATTTATGCCTTTGCGTCTTGAAATTTTTTCCAACAAATGGAGGGACCTACAGTTTATATTAAGGGGCACATCTAGTGTGTATTTTCAAAAAAAAAAAATCGATCTTTTTTCATACTTCGGTAGATTATACCTTTAAAAAAAAACATATTGAAATTTCAAATCGATATCTCAAATAGTTTCTTAGTTATAGCAATTTAAAGAGCAGCCGCTCGGCAGCCAGAGAGTCTCATTAGCAACGAGACGCACCTAAGGTATTTCACCTTTAAACGAGTTTTTCTCGAAAGAGCGTTTTCCGAATTCGCTGCAGTGATTACTCAAAAACAAATGATCCAGTCGCTATCGAATTTTTTTAAATGTTTTATATATAGTACTCCGTACAATGACCCATCGATTTTTGATCTGATCAAAAAATCGAATTTTTTGCAGGCCAAAAACACCCAAAATTTTAAGTGAAATTCGAATATTTTTTTTAAAACGCCGCCATATTGTCTTTTTTTGATCTTTTTTTATCGTAGACAATATCTCATTGAGATTTTTTTTTTTTAGATTTCATCCACGGAGAAGGCCCCAATCACTGCAGTAGTGACGGACTTTTTTTCGCGCCGTTGGAGATCGATTATAACTTAAAAAAGATTTTCTTTTTTTCTTCAAAAATTTAACTGTATGTTCTTGAAACATGTATAAATATATACTTAAAATTTTGAAATAATTGATAGAGAATTTTTTTTAATAAAATTTCCCAAAAATCACCTTTTTTTAGGCCATTGCACTAGGAGTGCCCCTTAAGCCGGCTCTGAACGCCTAATGGTTTTTCATGAGGGTCTTCCGAATGGCAGTAAGCAATGCTAATCACTCGGCTACCGCAGCCGCCATACTTGAATATATATTATTCAGCCATTCAATAACGATTTCTTTGGAAATTTTAAGAAGTTAACTCGGGAGTAAATAGCAGTGTGGGGAATATTAATCTGGCGCACGACATTTTTTTAACCGCCTAGTGTTTTATGCGCGATTGCTGACTCCTAATTTATCAGAAAATAAAATTAATTGTTCTGAAATTCCAGAGTGTCATTTCACTTACCTGGTTATTGGCAAAATAGAGTCCACTCTTTTGCCTCACTGTGGTGAAAGAGATGAGAGCTTTTACTCAACTGTAACATATCTCACCACAATCAAATTTGGTTTCAAACCCACCCTTATCCCCTCAATGTGTCTGTATCGTACTACTATTTCTACTTTATGAGAGAGCCCAAGCATTCACATAGAAAAATGAAAATTGTCTCATCTCTTAATTCTCTTCAAGCAGCTACAGTAAAGGTTATTATAAGGCGGACTCATTTTAGATGCGTTTAACAGAAATTGATCATGTCTCATTATAGCGGGTGCAGGTCTTTAAATTGTCCTTGAACTACTTAAAAGGCTATTTGTTCTAATTTCGTCGTATTCGTGCCAGACTCGATTCCTTATCTTGTTGGTAGTTATGGATTTCCATCTGTTCTGAGCTATTTGATCAAATTACTAAGGAAGTTCTCGTCAGATCATTCTAAACAGGCTTTGGATTCATCATAAGATGCCCCCGATTTACAAATTGCCCCCTTTTTTGTTACTAAAAATGTTTTCCTGGCCGGGAACCGAGCTTATGGAGATACCGAGTTGACTTACCAGCAAACTTATGACCTATTAAAAAATGTCCGAGTATATGGTTGCATTCTATATCATCGCGTAGATACTCATTGGTGACCTCACCGGCATGGACTCACCGCCTAGGACTTCCAGCCACACCGAAAAGAAACTCATTATTATCTTCTTCTAAGGTTTTTGTATGTTGTTCTACACAGTGAAGATAGCGAAAAGTTGTTAAGATTTGCATGAAAAAGAGAAGGTACGAAAGTTCAAACCGACTAAGTGTCCAGCGAATTTCATGACTAGCTTGTGTGTTTTTTGCTCAAGCTTACGAAGCAAAAATCTTTAGTATCTTCGTGCAACCGTGGTTCCTTTCAATTAACAGCAATCTTGTGATGTCCTCTTTTCTTGTAATGATAAAAACGAATACCATGTAAAAAGTCAACTCAGAGGTACAGTATAATGTTGTCGTGTCGGTTCTCTATCCCGAGCTTTGTCAGTGGCTCAAGATGCACAGTGCACATTCCCATTAATGATAGCGGTCAATGGCTGCCCTTGCCGCAGTATATTCTGTTGACTCAATTTTTAACTCATTTCCGATTGTTGGGCCCTCTGTGGCTGCAATGGGGACTATAATTTCATGATTTAAGTCTTAAATCAGCTACAGATGGTTGGCAAAGCACTTACCCTTAACGGTAGCCCACAAAACAGAGTCTAGCAAGATAGTCTAATCAAGAGGCGGCTACTTGGCATAGACTTTTCGGCTGGCTTGCCATTTTCTAAGGCACTGGACACTTTGATTGTAACGCTGGCATCGTCCATGTCGTTCTCTTTTGGTGACAAATAATCTCTGAGCATGGCAAGGCAACGATTCACATTGACGGCAACTCAAGGGCGGTAGTTTTGCTTGTTACCTGCTGTGGGGAAAGTAAGCTTGATTGGGTAGACAGGTGGCATGGGATGGGCATGAGGTTACAGTTCTTGGACCAATTAGGCCTTATAGGACCTGCATACCAATGTCTTTCTGCGAAATTCTGCACAAAGAAGTGGGCAAAATTATTTGATTCCTGCGATCGGTGTCGCGTTGATGTTGATGGCAGCAATATTTTTCTCTAAACTCTCTCGACGAACACATACGAACGACTTGTCTTGGCCGATAACCTAAGCTGCTTCTACTTGAACGGCTTTTAATCCAGCTCACCAACCGTTTGACTGATTCAAGACACTACGACAGTGACTTTTTGATGCGTATGGAAGGAAAGAGGTTAATTAGCGCTACAATGTTCATTCAATTGCAATTGGTCTTGTCATTTATCATTTTAATCATTAAGATCTTATTGCGCTCAATAACTTACCCTTTCACCGCGTTTTTAATTCGATTTATTTTATTTATTAGTTTTATATAATTTTATTCTATTTTATTTTACTTTTCTTATTTTTATTTGTTTATCTTATTTTTGAAGTTTGTTGCAAATATTTTGTTATTTTGGAATTTAATTATTTCATTTTTTTATTTTATTTTTTTTCAATTTTATTTCCCTTTATTTAAATTTTCAGTTTATTTATTTTATTTTATTCTACAATATATGATTTAGTTTAATTTAATTCAATTTATTTTATTTTATTTATTTTTTGTTAAGGTTTTTTTTATTTATTTTTATTTATTTTATCTCATTTAATTAAACTTACTTTTTTCAAATGATTTTACTTTTTTGTATTTTATTTAATATAATTTAGTTTTATTTTTAAGTTTAATTCAATTTAATGTAATTTAATTTAAATTTATTAATTTATTTTATTTTATTTTTGTTGTATTTTTATTTTTTGATTATTTTTTATTAATTTAATATAATGTAAATAAAGCAAAATAGTTTAACTTAATTTAATTTAATCTGTTTTATTAATTTTTTTACTCTGTTTTAATTTTATTTATTTATTTCGTTTTATTTTTATTTTGTTTAGTTTTTATAAAATTGTTTTATGTTTTTTATTTAATTTTATTTAATATAATTTAGTTTCATTTCATTTATTTTGTTTTATTATATTTTATTTTATTTTATTTTATTTTATTTTATTTTATTTTATTTTATTTTATTTTATTTTATTTTATTTTATTTTATTTTTTTTCTGTTTTGTTTTTTCTATTTTATTTAATATAATTTAATTTGAATTACTTAGTTTAATTTAATTTATTTTATAATTTTTTTATTTATTTTTATTTATTTTTTTTTTTTGTTTTATTTCATATTAGGTTATTTAATTTGAATTGATTTAATTTTATTTTATTATTATTTTATACCTTCCATCTTACCACCCATTTTTTCCATTTTTGGGGATTTTTCGTATAAATATTTTTTGGAAAAATTTTTATTTTTTAATTACATAAATTTATTGCCTCGTTAAAAATTTTACAGTTATATCTTAAAAGAGTAACTAGTGATGATGTGCACATAACGCGTACATTACTATTTATTTATGTCAATATGTATGTGAATATTTATGTATAATGTATATATGTGAGTTTTGAATCTAAAAACAACAAAAAAAATAAGTAAAATTAAACGCTTTGAGTGATCGCTGACTTAAATTTACAATTAAAAATAACGGTAATACAATTTAATTTATAACTATTAGCAAACTTTTTATATCTCTCTTCAAAACATATCTGAAGAGAGCATTGCTTGTGAGTTTATCTAAAGCGAAATATATTTATTTTTAATTCTCTTCTAGAAGGGTTGTGCGAAGTTTCCAATGTGAAACAGTTTGCGTGTGTGGCGGTTCACATAATTGATTTTATGTTTGTCTGTTTTTGTTAGTGTTTTTTTTTAGTTTTTATTTTTTTAATTTCTTCCACATTTTCTCCACACATTTCTTGTGCTTACATAGATATGTATGTATTTTGTATTACATATGTATGCTTGTTTATATATGTGTAGAGGCTTATCAATATAAAATACATGTTTGTATGTATGTATGTAACTCAATAAATTACTATATATGTGTTCAGTCTTGCGTGCTTACGAGTAATTGAATTTCAGGCTAAAACTAAAAAAAATATTTTTCTCTCATAAAAATGCTTTAATAATCTTGCTCTCGCTGATCTGCTGATCTGCCCAGCATCGAAGGGCCAACTCATGATGCCCACTTGGAAGGTTCACCCAATTAAGGTTCGTCCTGCGCCTCCTTTTCGCATTCTTTCTCCTCCTTTGACGGACTTGCCTCCTTAACCACTTCGTTGGCAGCAGCCCCCATGGGCACACTTGCCGCAAGCAACACCTTCTTGGCTGGCTTAATCGCCTCCAACACCACTTCAGCCTCCTTCAGGCGGCTGCAGGAGGGCAACTCTTCCGACTGCGACTCACTCACACCCCGTTTCGGCGACAGCGAGGCCGAGGAGGACGAAGCCGATGATGGTGTGAGTGCAGCTTCGACCACCATTTCCGACTCGAGTTCGGTGAAAATCTCTAGTAAATTATTTATGCCAATCAAATAGCCATCCTCGTGATTGCCCACCGTCCAGGTGCTGCTGTGGTCGATTTGTTGATTCTCAGGCAAACCGACGGTCTTGGCGAAATCGATAAGCCAAACGCTGGCTTGATAGTGATCGTGTACGAAGAGCAGCGAACTGCCGATCACTTCGTGTGTGCGAAAGAAGTCGGAGCATTCGAGTGTGGCACGAATGGCTTGGAGGCGTTGAATGTAACGGGGCTGTAACGAGAAATGCAGAGAGAGAGATAGAGAAATGGTGATTTTGTTTGGGAGAGTAGGCGGAAAATAATAATGGGAAGGCGAGCAAGAGAAAATGTGTGGGAGATTAAGAGATAGAGATAATAAGATGATGTCGAATGAGAATGTGGAAGAGAGTAGGAGAAAGTTAATAAAATAATGGGAAGAGGCAGAGAGTGTGTGAGAGAGTAGGAGAGACATAAAAAAATTACGTGGAGGGAAATGTAATGAAATGACTTAAAGAGAGAGGGAGAGAGAGAGAGAGAGAGAGATAGAGAGATAGAGAGGAAGTTTGAGACAGCGTGGAGGAGAAAGTGGGAGAAAGGGAGGTTTAGAGAGAGGTAGAGTGAAAGAAAGAAAGTAGGATAAAGATAATGATTGATGTGGATAGAGGAAGAGAGTGAAGGAGAGAGAAATAATATCACAACGGGCATATGATAATGCCGACGCAGGCAAAAGACTCACCATAGCATGCTGAAAACCGTTAACGAACTCCCGAAAGGCCTGCTTGATTTGCTGACGTGATTTTGTGGTCTTAAAGTCCTTCGTGCTGGTGCCATCGCTTTTTTTGATGCCCTTAGTAGGGAAAAGAGAAATTTTAAATTTACATTCTTATATAGTATACAGATGTGCCAACCCACTCACCTCTATGCGAAAACCGAGTGTGGACGTACTCGAAATCGTCTCACGCCAGACCATGTAACGTGGCTTCGTCACACCCTTGGCCTTGTGCTCATCCTCGCTAGGCGCATTCGGATCGATTTGTATCATCTTTTCATACATATCTTTGCGTAGCTTTGGTTTCTCCTTAGCCTTGGAGAGTTCCTCCTCGAGATAGGTGCGTACACCGATCTTACAATCCATCACACAGGGTTGATTGAAATCGCTAAGCAAATCTTGCAGTTGAAGATATACTGTGGAGAGAGAGAGGAAGTCAGAAGTTGGCGTAAGTGAGAGAGTAAGCATAAGCGGATGAAAGTAGAATGGTTAGAGAAAGAGAGAGCAGTGCACTCAGAACAAATATATATTCGAAGAAGCTCATCTAACTTCTTCCTTTCTCCTGTACAGTTCTATGCTCACTTCAGCTCTTTTCCTGCTCTCACATACGTATATATAATACTTACATTCACCATCCTCGCTGGTCACCTGACCCCTGTACTCCGGCACATACGGACGCAATACATCCTTCATGAGTACACGAAAGCAATCCTCCTCTTTCGGGCAGAGCTTCTTCAGTACGGTGCCCTGTTCGGGACCGGCTTTGAAATTGCCTTGATGGCCGGCCAGTTGGACCCAAGGATAACGTTGTTTCTTGTATGTTTGAAAAAATGGCGTCCATTGCACAATGTTGCGGATTTTGCGCCAACCAGAAGGCTGTTTAGGGGAGAAAAGAAGCGAGAGAGAGCGCATGAGTCTCGTAAGCAAATGTACGCTAAGCGCACGAGCACGCAATGGGGGTTAAATCCACTTGAGTGCTGTAAATAAATATTTGTGGCATGTTATTGGCATACCAACGCGTGTCACGCAGGCTACGCCGTCCGTCTGAGGCCACGCGCAAATAGACGCTGACAAATAGGCGCTGAAGGCAGATAGCAAATCGCAGATAGCAGATTGCAGATCGCGTACCGCCAATCTGTGGCAACAACTCTCCTAATTAGGGCGCGCTTGAAATCTGAGCAGCTCCAAAACAACAAAAGCGCCGCAGTTATGGTGCGCGCAATTAAACGCACCATGCGTTGCATTGGTGAGTTAACTGCATTTTTGGTAATTAAGTTAGTGACCATAAGCTAGCGCGTTGAGTGACGCTAAGCGACTGCATGGCAAATTCAACAAAAAAAAATACAATTTCCTTAAAACTTGTCGACAATTGAGCACAGAAAAGGAAACAACGACTTTTGAATAAGAAGTGCGCAGACGCATGGCGTACAAAACTATTTAAGATTTGGTAATTAATTTGCTTTGAGCACTTTTAACTGCTTATTTCTATAAAATCTGTATATTTTCGGTGCACAAGCGGTGCTTATTGTGTATGTTAATTGCCAAGAAAATGTAAGCGCTCCGCTGTCAGAGCGAGGTCAGCTGCTGTTGTGTGCGAAATTCAGGCGCTTGTGTGAAACGCGTCCTCACAGCAGCGCTGTTGGGAACGTTGTATATGCATTACGATCCAGCTAACATGCAAAACACGAGCGCGCTTACACAATGTACCCACAATGAAAATGCTTCTGACATAAACACTTCACCGCGCCGCGCGCTGCTAAATATATACGACGCGCATTGACGTCAATAGCAATTCTACTTTTTTCCACGACGCGCTTGTGAAATACTCCAAAAAATATAATAAATTAAGACAAATAGAATGAAGCGCGCAGCTACTTTGAAGTACGCTGCTATAATAAAGCTCACAGCTTCATTGTTAGCACGTATCGTGGTCCACTGGTTGCGCTAATTAACCCCAACACTGACGGAGCGCTGCAGCGCGTTGTCGCTTATCGCGCATCTACCCACATAAATGTCATCCTCACTATTGATATATGCTACGTGACTTGGCTGACGCGCGCCGTTGTCGAAAATTGTCCGCGCGCGCGCGTCTCATCTTTTATTTGCTTGCGTTTTATCCTACATTGTAATTGGTGAACTTCAATGACATTGCAAGGCCAAATAACAAGGCGGCAGTGTGTTAATTATTGTTGCGTAGCGCTGAGCGTACATTGTCAATACTTTCAATTAGCAGCGGCCAGTTAATTAATGTTTTATGAGATCAAACGGTAAGCGATGTTATTCGCTGAAAAGCATCAACTCTGAATTCTCTTGAGCATCCTCACTGCCGCAAGTGGATAATAACGCACAGCGCGCCTATAACGGAGATGCGCGCGCAACAACGCTGCGGATAACGCTGCCGCGCGGCAATCCTATACGTTAAATGAGTGCTATGACAAACAATTAGTAAAAATTAATAAGCGTGCAACAGTCAATAGAGGCGCATACTTGACCAACAACAACAAACACACATTTATAGCACGCGCTTGAGAAAGTGAGCTGTTGTTGCCAGTGTAAATAACATGCAAGCACATACAAATAGCAAATGAATGACACCACTGCAGGCGCCTACAATAACTGCAATTAACGCTTTTGTCATTTCAACAACAGCTCGAGCGCTGGAGTGTGGCGCGCGTCGGTGGCGGTTAGCCACTCGAAATGCACACAACAAGTTTGTAAATTTATTTTTGCAAATAACTCGAATACACTCGCAGAGATTAGCGTTGATTAGTAGTGGGCGAGAGTGATGGGTTGTTGCAGTGGTGCATTGAGCGGGCGGGTAAAAGTTGGGTTGACTAAGTGGCGGCGATTAAGCGTTCACTTGAGTCAAGTGAGTTGTTGTTTGGTGAGTTAGTCTGGATGCGCGTATGCACATGTCAACGGCGCGCGGTATACGGTGGCGCTTCGAGTTATGGCGCTGCTTAATGAATGCGCTTTGCAATGCTTTTGTGCGCGCGCAATGAATTTGCGTCTACAGCAGTGTCAACTGAAGGCGTTTGCTATAATTAGATAATCTAAACATTCTCATCAGGCTTGCATTGCAGTAAATCACAAACGGAGAAATCGTCGTTACATTCATTCCCCTAACAACACTTTTCCGTTTTGATCTTGTATATGCTTAATTTCAAACTGAATCCCAACCTGGTATGGAATCTACATCTAATATAAATCATATTACAATTTTAGCGTTAAAAAGTAGATACCCAAGGAAAAAGCTCTCGACAGGCAAACGCTAGCGAGTTGTAACAAAAATAATTTCAAATATTCTCTAAGCTTTCTCCAACATTACATTTGAGAATGAGTTGAGAAACAAGAGTGTTGAGAAGATGTTGAGAAAGCATTCTTTCTCAATTTGAAAATAAGTTCCAATTTAAGAAAGTTATTTGCAGTTCAAGAAGAAAAGCCGGACATATCTTAAAACTTGAGTCATCTTCGGTGGTCCGACATTTTAGCGGAGTAGTTTGAAGTCTTCATATACGAAAACCTAGAGAGAGTTGGTACCTGGAAGGACTACTCGATTTTGCAAAATTCCGTTAACTTTTCAACTCAACTCAAGAATCTTCCGTAGTATCACAATGTGATGGCTTGGAAACTCAGCCAAAACAACCACTTCAAACTGATCTAACCTATCATCTGACCTTTCGCTTATTAAATCCTTTCGTTCTACGTGAACTTCTCTCTAATAAGCGACGAACTTCAAAGATCTGCGCTGCCGCGTTGAGTAATTTTGGAAAATAATTGACCTCCGAAAGCTCTGCGGAAACCTTCTTAATATAAACCAAGTTAGTTCTGCTGCACAACGAGTTTTCACGAAAGTAAGAGCCGTGGCTTAAGGAGTCTAAGAAGCTCCTTCCGCCAACCATCATTACATACTTGGCAATCACAACCGTCGGTATAAGCCGAGCTAAAAAAGAGTCTGCAAAGCTAAGAGATTGCCAAAGCTAGACAGAGGTGTTCGACAAACTTCCGCTGATATCGCAAGGGGCGAGTCGATACTTGAATGCTAAACAATTCTGCTAAATTCAGCGCTTCTACTGAGCGTTGGCACCGAAATCAGCCTTTTTAGAGAATTAAAAAGGGAGGTACTGAGGGAGAGTCTCGAACGAACCAACGAACGAACCAAAAGTGTATGGAAACCCAAAATCCACGCCAGAATTTCAAGTAAATATGACAACTTCCACAACAAAAATAAAACATGGCTGCTTTGGTAGCAGCAACTTCCATATGGAATACTCTATACTGATCAGGCAGCCTTTACACCCAACGTTTGGGGCGTGTCCAACAGAAAAGAATTTCACCGCTTCTTCCTTCAACCAAGCGCTGGAGGTCATAAGGGTGACACAGCACCTCTTGAGAGTTGAGAGACAGACAGAGACAGAGATTACAGACGCCGTGTGATGTGTTTACTTGGGTATAAAGTCGAGCTTCATGTGTTCTGACCTTGATCCCAGCGTGTAGCGTGGTTTTTAAGCCTTGCAGTTTTGCAATTCCTGTGTTGTAGTAGAATGAAGGCCGCCCGCAGCGCACTTCCTAGAAGCTCAGCTAATACCGATCCGTTGAAAATAACTAAACAATGCTTGCCCCGAGCCAAGGAACTGCTTAAGACGGATGGATGGAAAAGTTGAAATTATAGTATTCCCACAATTACCGTTAGTTAGTCGTCACGAAAGCAACAAAAAGACCTCCAACAACCTACACCTGCTCCATACAAAATTCGTCGCTTCGTTGATTACCCACGTCAAACTACGACCACGAGCTGTCTGCCTGATCGCAGCGCGCTTAAAAATAGCCACCAACCAATGCGACTTAATAGCCGGGCACACATGCAACACACAGTTCATACTTGACTTCCACCAGAGCGCAGAGCCCAGAGCCCAAGTACAATAAATTTATTCAATTAATCAGTGTCTCGTCGGTTGCTGGGCGAACGCATTGCGGCCGTCACGAAAGGCACATGAATTTGAGCTGTAAAAAGCGAAGCGCAAACAAATTGATAACGATCTTCGTGAGGAGCAAAAAGTAGTTGGAGACAACAATAACAACAACAACATCTTCATAGTGACAGCTCACAATTCAGTTTGCATAAATATGTATGTAAATGTGCATGTGTTTGTTGCTGGCGCTAATAAATTGTGCAAATTGGCTACAATTGAAGCCGAGCGAAAATGAGAATAAAATTAAATAAATAAAAAAAAATAAAAAATAAAAATAAAAAAATAAAAAAATAGAAAAAAAAACACTGAAAAAATAAACAAATAAAATAAAAATAAAATAATAAATAAAATAAAAAGTACAGAAAACAATTAAAACAAATAAAAATATACAAAAAATAATGGAAAATAACAAAATTGAAAAAAAAACCGTTAAATTTAAAGATATGCAAAGTATTTCAAAATTGACTGTAAAGTGTGAATGCGCGCGTGAAATGCGTCTGAGATACCTATTTACGTGTATGTACTTATATATTTATATAATACATACATACATACATATATTATATTTATTTTACTTACGAAAGCATTTTAGCGAAATTTTCCACAACGCGGATTTTCATATTTACCTGCAATGAGAAGAAAATAAGAAATTCAGTTTTATATTTGATGATTTCAAAAAAATAAATTAATAAAAAGCAAGAAAAATTAGGAGAATAAAATAAATAAATAATACTTATTTTTAAACATTTTTCAACTTCACCTCGACAAGCCGACACAAATATTTATATACTATTTCAACATAAAAAGGTCATGAAAAATAAACGTAAGCAACAGTAACAAAACTAATACAAAAATTAAAAATATAAACAAGCACATAAGGTGTGTCCCACGGAAAACGAGATT